TGTATGAATCGTAGATACGTATCGTATGTACGTGTCGTATGTATGAATCATACCCACGGTCTGATATCCTACGGACAACACATTGATCAACAATATGATTGCTGCCTGCATTTTTTGTTGCAGAAATCAAGCATGGTGCTGAGACCCTCCCCATTTGGTGTTGGTGGAGAAAACTCATACAAGATTTAGTAACACATGGTGGGGAAAGCAAAGCTTGCTTCTTGTTGTCATTGTGAACTTCCAGTATCAATCATCACTTGTGACTCAGTCAGGAGGAGAAAAGATTGCTTTTGCCTGTTCAGTATTTGCAGTACTGTCAAAGTACAATGCTAATAGTAGTGGTAGTAGTGGTACCGATAGCTAGTAGAAGACATTTTTGTGGTGAACTCTTTCTAGTAAGAGCTCCTAGTACTTCTTCTTCATACTACGGTAGTAGTACTACCCGTACCCTCCTAAAACTCACTAGAGAAAAGCTTGTCAAAAAAATTAAGGTGAAGTTTGTCAAGTTGAGGATACTACGCATTTCGTAACAATTGAATTGAAACCGGTCTCGAAAAAGAGCAAAAAGTAATAATTTCAAGTTCTAAGCTTCGATTTGAAGTTATGAACTTCAAAATGTCCCAGTAGAAAGTCTACCAGGTTCTACTGAGCTAGTTTTTGGATGGAATTCATGATTGAAAAGCCAGGATTCATAATTGAATCACCTCAAACCATTTTGTTTTGTTTTGAGGGAAATCGATTTGGTCATTCAGTCATTTTAAAAGCAAGCTCAGTAGAACCTGGTACATGATGTACAGTTAATAACTTCAAATCAAAGTTTAGAACTTGAAATTATTACTTATTGCTCTCTGGCGGAGTCCGTTTTCAATTGTTACGAAACTCGTAGTAAACTTCCGGAAGAAAGTGGGATCGGAATTTCGATCTGGGGCTAGGTTCTTTCTCAGACTTCCAAACCGGCGGTACCGGTACGAGTACTACGCATGACTCTTGGCCGCAATTGGCAAGCATTTTCCGTTGAGGTCTTAAAAGAACAAGAGAGAAATTCTTCTTATCGATATGCCGCAATAAATTATGAACACCCAGGACGAAAATTATCGTTTTTAGTGTGGTTGGGGATGTCCATGATTCGGACGTGAAAAAATGGCCATGGCGCTTTGTGACGGAGGAAATAGCTACGAGTACCGTAAGATCGGAACTACGTGCCACCACATGTATTACAGTAACAAAAAATAAGCAATACTGATCCTCAACCGCAACTACGTACGTACCAGTCCAAGTAACCACTGTACGGTTCAATTTTGAATGATATCATCAAATCTCCACGTTTTGGTGCCTTCCGAGTACAGTTATTACCAGGTACCCTACTCTTGTACCGATACGATGATGGGGAATCGCCTGCCGCCTGAAAATGAAAAAATTGCTTGAGAACGCTTTATGTACGAACCGGTACAAATCTCATCCAACATGCGGTAATTGTATTTATTAGTCACCGATAGGTTGTTGCATAAATCATTTATGCTATTTGACACTTCATCATTCAAAACCATACACTGTTGTCTAAAACCAAAAGCGAACAGCTACGAGTTATCTTGTACGAGGTATTTCGGCACACATTCTCATTCTCAACCAACAATAAGCATAGGAACGAAAAGTAACGTCGTCTCAACACCATCACAATGGCAAGACTACCTGTTGGAAGAAACGGCGATTCTCGAACGAGACTTCTCAATAGTCTCGGACTTTTTCAAGAACAGCGAGACGAAAGGAAATGCATGCTTGGAAAATCTAGTGCATCGATAAGATACGACCGAGACTCATCTCCTTCAAACAATCATTTTGAAAACATTGTTGGTGGTAGTGATGGTGAAAGTGGCGAAAAGAAAAAGTTTCGTCACGTCAGAAGTTGGTCTGACATCCCCGTGCGATCGGCACTGCATAATTCTGTGGCCTTTGAGACTAGATTGAATGACGAGAATATAATGAGGAACCACAAAGATGATAGAGGTAATTCACAAAGGCGCTCATCGTTGTCGCGCAAGAACAAAGAGGACAATAGCCCGCATTCTGTTCGATTCAACACGGTTGTTTCGGGAGTCAAGATCCCATCTCGAAACCAATATTCGAGACGGATAAAACAAACGCTGTGGAGAGATCGTTATGAACTATCGGAAATGGTGGAGCGGAACACTACAGAATTCCACGCGGAAAATTATGACTGGAAGCAGGTAGTTCTTGACGAAGAGATGTACGTGGATGCCACCAGCGGAGAACGGATTCATCCTTGTCATGTAGAATTGAATTCATTTGATGAGAGTGATGACGATGATTACAATGATTCTTTGGTAGATGAATCGGGTTTTGCTCCTTTGTCACGATTAGATTCTATTGCCAGCTCAAAATAATGAGCGAACATCGCTGGACAGCGCAAACATGCATGAATTTATTGATTATTCGATTCGGCATACATAATTGAGTCAAACAACTGAATCTCCATATTTTGTTGACTAGATAAGGTCCTGTTTGTGCCCATCATTTCTTGGACATGGTATAGTTCATTGCAATATAAAATACCAATGTTTTCATGATAATTGCTTTTCATGATTTCGTTTCAGATCGACAGATCACGGCGGGTATAGGTATTATCGACACAAGAATAGAAAGCGCTAAAAGCGATCGCAAATCAACTTCAAGCTCTTTCGTGAAATTTTAATACAATGCAGCTGTGTCTTTAGTTTCATGCTAAAAATATACTACTTATACAACTGAAGACAACTGATTCATTGAAGCAGATTAAACACATGTTCAACTCCAGCCGTTGCCTCTAAGAAGGAGATTTAAACATTCAGAAGCAAATACGGGTTTCAATCTTCATTTCTTGACGAACCTAGAAAGAGGAAGACAGAAGAATTGGAGACAGAAGCCATCAATCCTCAAAGGTAGTTACTTGAGGCAATCTTTCTTCATGCCACGAAGTGTTGGTTCTTCAAGGAATCTTGCACTTTGTTACAGAATTTGCATGATCATACACAAAATCTCGATGACGATGCAATTCTCTCCAAATTCTGATTGATCTTTGGCAACAAAGTTCGAGAGTTGTGCATATTTTAGTGACCAAGTTTGTGGATAGTAAATTTGTCCTTACAATGCCTAATGACCAGGATAATAGCCGATTTACGTCGAATTTTCTCGAAGAAGTATTCCTATTTATTAGTTTTAGCGAAGGATTCGAAATTTTGCAACTGGAGTTGCTTTAGCTAACTTAGTCGACGCCATCATTGATCACCTCCTTCTTCGTCGAATAACATTGCTAACAAATATTTAGGCAATTTGGGACTTAATTTAGATGACCGGATGGAAAAATCGTTGCCAAACGGTAATCGAAATTTGTTACGTAATTAACGTACGTTTAACGTTAGTAGTACAAATTTGCATGATCTCATGTACGACGTACTATTTATTCAGAAATGCGAAGAGCACAGATGATGATATATGATTGGTTGATTTCTGATGACGCATCCTTCATTATTCTGACACTTGGATTGGACTTATTGAAAACCTTAATCACGGCAGCATTTATGTCTGAATCGTACTGCTTCCTGCAGAAAAATATTTTTTGTTTGCTTCTAGCAGCTTTTGTATGCTTTGTCAGAGAGAAGGTATTTTATTGGAATATTCGAATTCGGTTTGTGATTGCATTTATTCTTCAGAATAACCGTGGTACACTTAGTGTCAATACGTCGCTAAAAAATCATACCACGATAGCGCGACCACATTCCATCTTGCAACTGCATTGTTCTATCAGAACAGTAGAACTTTGTCCTTCCACCATGGTCCCGTCAGAACTCTAGGGAGTCCCATGTCTGGATGGAAGAATTCGAACAGATTTTTTGATGCCTTTCCTATCAGCCAATTTCTTCCAAACCTTTCACCTTTCGAATGAGTTGTACGTCCAACACGAGTTCAAAAAGTGTCGAGTAGTGCATGCAACGCCCAAAAGAGTTTATTACGTTTTGTTTAGATAACTGAAGTCGAGTCTATCGCACACAAAAGTAACAAAGCAATCTACCACTCAACCGAAACTCTAGCTGCGAAGTCGTTCCATAAATTTATTTGATCAACCACAAAACAACATTCAAAATGATCGCAACAAGCATAAATTCAATGGATTCTACTACCAGCATGAGGATAAAAAGTGATGATCAGATCCGCCACCGACTGATACGCAGCCTTGGTATCAACCATTCACCAAAATCAAATATGAATGGCCGGATGATGCAGAAAAACATTCTTACCGAAAGAACGCAAGAAATACCGCTGAAGAACCACTGCCACAACAAATCGGCACCGAAGGCCGATTCTAGAATCCAATTTAACTCTGTTGTTAAAGCGATGCCTATTCCTTCGCATCAGGATTACTCAGACCGAGTGAAGAGGCTGATATGGTCGAACGGGACCGAAATTCGACAGAACGCGCAAAGAAATGCAAGGGAATTTGCATTCGAGGGATGGAGCGCACAGTATGTCCTGGAAGAAGATCAGATGTATCTAGACGTTGGCTCTATGGAATTCATTCATCCTGTTCATGTAGTGGGATTCTCGTAATCTGACGAAAATGTGTTGTACTTCGGTCGCAAGAAAGGGGCAAATTTATTGCATTCTGGAGGACTTTGTTTGGACTTGCACATACTTCGACATAGTTACATTGCTGTACATAATTCTGAGCGGAGAACAGCCCAGGCTGAGCGTAAACTATGAAAAATAATGTATCATTACAACCAATGCAATCAATACACTATGCTTTTGCTGGAACATACTGAAAGATCGATAACATCATATCATCGGCATAGCGACTACACATGTTTTGTTGAACCGTATTCTAGCATGCCAACCCTGCCTTCCTTCATCCACTAATGATCTGAATATTCCGGTAAGCTTAGTCCTATTACCTCATGTCTCTCACTACTTCGACAAATAATACGTACGGTAGGAGGCGAATGTGTTTCAAGCCAAACTGTTACTCGTGACTCAAGAAAATGACGTTTCAATCATATTTTTGGGCGACCAGTACAGGCGGAGATTATAATATCGTACCGTACGTCTCTGTTGGAAGCAATCATCTGCAGCACCATCATTTAGAAATACCGATCCAAATTCATTTGGAAAGTCTACACCTCTAGTCGCAACAAAATAGATACAAAACAAATAGTAATAATGGCCCAATCCTGTAGATATCTCTGGCTATTGCCTCTTTCGACCCTGTTTGGTGTTGTCACCAGTTTTGTGCCTCCATTTACCATGAGTTCGATGCCTGTGTACGACGCTGTCGACGCGATGGAGCATACTTGTACTGTGTCGACAGCATCAAAATCGCGACTTGTCGATGCTACGAATTTTCTGGTGTCAGCGGAAGGTAGCGAAAGCGTCCACACGGGTCTTATAAATTGGGAAAATCCAGGGGAAGCATTCGCAGGTGCAGTCACGCTCCTCTACATTGGGTTTTCGATTTTGGCTGGCATCAAGTACGTCGTGATAGATGGTTGGAGGCCCAAGCTTTAGCACTTTGCTTTTCAATGAAACTCCAAACGGAGAACAGAATTTCGCCACTTGTAATGTTTTGGGAGCAAGATTTGGGAAATGAATCGTCCAGTATTTGCAAGTGCAAATTCCACTGCCACCACTGACCAGAACGCCTGACATTAGACCGTTGTTCAGAAAGAATAGATGAATTATTTCTAGGAGTGGTAGTGAAATCGAACAATCGGCATCTTCTAAGTAGTTTTATTGGCAATGCACCAGTGCACTACTTATTCCGTCCTAGACTATATTTCCTGATAGAACCAGATTTACTCTTTAAATAATCTGAATTATCGACAATCCATTAAAATCCAAAAATGCTACTGCTGAAGTATTTGAAGTCTATCATGATAGTAATAGTGGTTCCGTTGAAGATAAATCCAAGGAGAGTCACTTTTGATAGCAACATAAGGGGGATGCAAAATACCGAGGATCTTGAGATGGAGGATGCCGAGAATTGATGCTGAATATGGACACGACAGAGTATGGAGGTCAATGAATATGGAAGTGGTTTGGCTACAGGGGGGATGCTGAACGTGGAAGGGGACACTGAATGCACAGAATGATGGTTAGTAGTGAGGGGAGTCTGAATAGTATAGTAGTACTTTGTGCACAATACTAGTACAGAAGACACTGCATAGGGAGGCTGATTAGTAAGAAGGAGGGGATGCTGAATGCAGATGGTAAATATGGAGGAAGAAGCTGATACTAGTATAGATAGGGACTCTGAGTATGGCTGCTCCTTGTTGTAAAATGGTGGAAACTGATACAAAAAGTTGGTGATGGTGGGGAGGATGCTCCTGTTGATACACCAGCAGAGGGGGGGGGGGGACGACACTGGTGATGCCCCCCCCCCTCTTGACCTACATTCCTACTACTACTACTAGTAGTACTACTTGCTGGAAGAGAAAAAGAAATAAGAAGACAAGAAGGAGTGTAATATTTGTTAAGTCATTCTGCAAAGCAGCAAGGGCTCTTACTGAAATATACTGTTCTGGACTTTCCTCTGTAAGTGTTCACAAGCTACGTACAAAGTACTCATGATTACTACTGTAATACAAGTATGTGCAGTACCTCTTCACACAGCACACCGTATAGACTAAAATATGCGTGCTCTAAAGAGTGTGGAAAATAAATGGACAAGGGGGGCCTCTGGAAGAGCAAGTACACACTACTAAAAACTACTGCTACATACTGATAGCATCAACAAGAGATGCACCCCAGAGCTGAGCTGCTCACTCAGCTCACTACTATTGGTGCTAACAGCTATTGCGGCAAAGCAAGAGAAGATAGTATCAGTAGTAACAATAGATAATAGCACTGTCAAGTTAAACAGGGTCTATGCCCAATTGTGCACCCCAATTTTGAGTATTCACCATGCAAGGTGGTACTAGTGTGGTACAACCTAAGAGCTATCTGGATCTCTTCCAGAACCCTGTAGCCAATCTGTTTGGTACCAACACAGGCACCCAGAAGCAATCCTATGCCAACATCCAGAAGTGATCCTATGCCAACAACTACCATCACTATTACAGTGCACCAGAACCCTTGCCCACAGAGCTCCTCCATGAATATGAACTTAACCACTTTGAAGCAACGTCACAATGCTGTTGGGGGGATGGATATCTTTGTGGCAGATGAAGGCCCCATTCTCCGGCTCTGTATCATACATGGAATACAAAAGTACCCAGGAAGCTTCATTCGCCCATCACAGAACTCTAACAAGACATTTGGGTACTTGGATGATGTCATAGTAGAGGGAAGTGGGGAACTTGTACAGGTAACTTTCACCATGTTTGTCCTCACCTCCAAAGTGCAGGTGTGTACTGTGGCGCACTATACAAGTTGTACGCTATCAGAAGTAATTCTTCATTCCCTTTGAGCTGATGCCTCTGGCCCTACCACTAAATGAAAGGGAGCCTCCAACACAAAGGACAGCAACTCTGCATCACAGGCAACCCACCAGACACATGTAGACAACCCTTGGCAAGACCCACAGTTCAGCACGGCTGATGAGGAATTTACCAAGTGTGTTAAGTCCTTGAAGATAGCCTAGTCAGCTTCCAAACAGGAGAAGGGATGCCAACTGTCATGCAGACAGAGCTGTGGGGGAAGGGACAAATAGAGGCGGCACTAAACAGAGGGCCACACAAGTCCTCACACAATGGAATCAAATTCATCAGAGAAGAGTATTCAGACATGATGGATAAGCAACAGTGGACCATGTTACCAGTACAACTCGTCTGCAACAAGCCTGGCCTGAGGTTGAGCCCACTGGGCCTTGTACCCAAACGAGGGCACCATGACAGGATGATCTGTAATGGGTCAATGATGAAATGGCCCCTACAGGTCCACTAGAGGCTATGCAGTTTGGAAGAACCCTCACGTGGCTGCTCCGCCAAATTCATTGAGCCAATGAGCGTTATGGTCCGGTCTACTTATCTAAAGAAATAGACCTCTCACATGGATTCTACCGGTACTGTGAGTGCGACCCAAGGACACCATCCACCAACTTGCAGTTCTTTTCCCTGCCAGACCTGGAGAAGAACCACTGGTGGGAATACCACTCACCAACCCTATAGGCTGGTGCCTGTCCCCTACAAATTTCAGTGTATGTACCAAAACCATAGCTGATCTTGACAAAGAAGAGGAGACCGCAGAGGAGTCCAAGGAAGTGCCAATAGTTCAGAACAAATCCCTTCCCTTTCCTATCAGGACACCCTATCCAAAGCTAGTGCACTACTGGGACATCTATATGGATGACTTCTGGGGTCTCATCAAAGGCAACCTGTGGATGTGTCAAGCTGTGAAAAGAGTGTTGCTACAAGCCCTCAACCAGATCTTCCAGCCCTTGGATGCCCAAGACACAGTCTTCAGACAAGAACTGGCCTTAATTACTAAGAAGCTCAAGAAGGGGGACACAACCTGGTCAACACCATCCAAACTGATCCTAGTAGGATGGCTGCTGAACATGCAGCTCTGCACCATTCAGCTCCCCCCCCCCACCAGATTGAACCACTAGAGGCAATACTTGCCTCCATCCAGCTGCAGCAAAATTACATAACCGTGCAAGAATGGCACAAGGTCCTAGGAGAGCTACACTTATTGTCCCCAGCTATACTTCTCAGTCCACCAAGAGGCCTTTGGGCACCAGGAAAAGGGACATAACTGTCTGAGGCTCACAGCAACAGTACAAAGATTCTTGGAGGATTTCAACTGGCTTGTGTGTGACCTTACCAGCTGCCCAACAAGAATAGCAGAACTGGTCCCCAATGTGTGGCCTACAATAGTAGGAGCCTGTGACGCTGCAGGAGCAGGTATGGGAGGGGTGCAATTTGTGCCCATAAGAGGAGGGAGGACACAAGAACCCGCCCATCCTTTGGCAGGTCCCATTCCCCCAGTGGATACAACAAGCCCTCGTCTCCTTTGATAACCAACAGGGGACCACCATCACTAACAGTGAATTAGAACTGAATGTATTCAAGTCTGATCTTGGCGCCATCATCCATGCAAGAGGCAATGCAATCCAACATTACTAGAGGCTATGCCAAAAAGAAGGATTCACATTGGCAGCAGTGGATGAAATAGTACTGTAGGTCACAGAATCTGGACCTGCTCCTCTGAACCTACCAGGACCCAGTCCCATAGCTACTACTACCTCCAAGTCTTTGGGGAAACAAGATAGTAGTACCATGATGGCAGCAGACTGTGGTGGTCCCCCAGCCAAAAGTGCAAAAATCTCAACGGTATCAGATGCCATCCAATCAGTGGGCCAGGTGCTCATGCCCTTGGGGGGTCCTGACCCCAGACTTAAATGGTTTGGCACACTACTAGATGTTTAATCACAGCTGTTGTTACAGCTTCCTGCTCCCAGACGAGAGCGTCCCCCCCTCCTCATCCTTACACGACCTCTCTGCGCTTCCAGGCCTCTCCTTTCTTCCCTTCCTACACTATGCTCCCCCCCTGTGACCTGACTGGCCCTTTGGCAGTTCATTCCTCTGGTGTCTACGCTGTTGGGTTGGAACAAGCGAGCTCAAGAACAAGAAGGAAGAGCAGCTCCCCCTCCCTGCCACAGGAACCAATCCTACTAGCTAACCCTACTAGTAACGGTAGGGCTGCTCCATGTGGCGCCCAGCTGGCAGGGTTCTTCAATTCCCCGTAGCACCTGCTTAACCTACCAATGCTAGCTATCAGTACCCGTAGACCTAGAGGATCCGGTGATCTAGTAGTAGTAGCAAGTGCCTCGTTACAGAGGCTGTTTGCGTGAGAAAACAGCCCGTACCGCACGTACCGTCAGCAAAAAGTACTAGTATTAGTATTCATATGTACGTGACATATGTTGATACCGTAGGTCTCTACAGAACACAAATGCGATGTCGTGCCATTCGCTAATCCTTTTCCTTTGTTATTCGTCGGAGTACAACGCGGCATATGAACCCATCCAATAAGTTCCCTCACATTCCGGAAACAAGATCGACGTGTTCTTGCCTTGTCGGGGATGTTACAATTTCGAACCGTTGCATTTTCGAAGTGTTGATTGGATTCAATTAAGACTTGACACTATTTGCAAGGAAGCCACAAAACACTCGAGAACTACACAATAACTAGCTTCGACAACGCCGACGAATTCATCCGAATAGCCAAGAAATTACAAGAACAGCGAACGCGGCGACGAGATGTCTGTAAATTGTCCGAAAGTCTCTCAAGGCGAAGCCATTCGATCTCGACTGATTCGTTCTCTCGGTATTCAAACATCAAAACCAGCACCTAGTATAAGTTTGAAGCACAAGGATATCATCCGGGAACAAAACCTTGTCGCACTTCGCCATCAGCGTCCTGCGAATATCGATGCCAATGTGCTCAGCAACGCCGCGTCGATTCGACGATATCTTAACGATAGCGAAGAGCACGGGGTCCGGACACCGCTTTCGACGGGTCAAAAGCGACGCGTTCGTTTCAACAACGTTGTAACAGAGAAGCAAATCGCTTCCCACAAAAAATATTCGGCTCGAATAAAACGCACACTTTGGAGTGATTCCGAAGAAATCCAAGAAAACGCCTTCCGAAACCAACTCGAATTCCAGGCCGAGGGAATGAATTGGGAATCTGTCCTAGAAAATGACGAAATGTACTTGGACACAAATACGGGAGAGCTGATCCATCCGTTCTGGGTGGAGAGCAAAGATGCTCTGAGACTTTCTAGAGGATAGAAAATCAAAGACCCGAAGAAAATGGATAGAATATAGAAAGATTAGATAGAGAATTCGATAATAATAAGAATACATTACACTAGAGAAAAGAATCGAATCGACATTATAGTGGTATCTTCAGTTACTGTATGACAGCCAGACCTAGTTGTCGTTTTTTGAAAGCAAATGGCTTTCATACATCCATAGCTACCAGAATGTTTGAGGAAGATACCTTTTCGTCTTCTTTGGAGATCCTGGAAGAAATAGTACCGGTACTGGCAGGATAGGTATTGATGGCAGAAAGTATTTTTGTTGTACAGAATTGCATAAAGAATACCGTACGATACGAGATATTGCCATCCATGCGCGTACGAGTTTCGCACTGGAAGATCGATGAGAGGAAAACACTTTTTGTACCGGTAGGACTCAAGTTTCAGGCTTCAGGGAGACCTTTCCATAGAGAACGTACGTACGGTAGGTACCGTAGAGGTTCATACAGGACAACATGAGAACGAGTTGAACTATGCACTTCACGGTGTAAGTTCGCGTACATCATACTGTATGTACCACTATCTTCTGTGTACGAACCGTAGTTCGTACGGTAGTGCTGTTGTTGGATAGATTGTGTTCGTTGTGGTTTACAATTGAACGGTACGTACGAGTACAACCGTTGACACTGAGTTCTGACGGTACGATATGAGCCGACGAGTACGTATTACATACGTACAATAGTACATACAAAATACTGCAATGTCTCCATCCTACTGTGTGTCGTATATGATATACGAGTACATATGGTACTCACGTACGCTACGGTTCTGAACCGATAGGAACCGTTGTGTTCGCTGCATTATTCACAAAACTCAGTATCAAATCGAACATAGATAAATGGTGGAATGGTTGATTGCTTGATTGATTTTTATTGATTGATCAGTAACAATGATCATTATCGGCTATCTTACTTTACGATACATATCGGTACAAGTATTGCCGGAGGCAGTGAAAAAGTTCGTTCTTGAGAGCGGAAATTGCATAAGTCCTATCTGTAGGAGAATACAGATAAGCCCAAAATATCATAGTAGATTATATGAGTACTTAATACACTAATTTTGAAATAGAATGGTGACGGTCTGTGATTCATTCTGTCTTTTAGAAAGCGACACGTGATTCATTGTTTTTTAAGATGAATTCATTTCTGTTTTTGCCGGCACTGATGCCACGAATAATGGAGGGAAAGAACAGGAAATACAGTAATCGTTTGTTCCTTGAAGAGTACTCATATCGTAGATTTAAACAGTACGAAGTATTTAGTACTTCCTAGTACTAATAACTGTTTTCGTTCTGAAATAATAACTATTTTTAGGATCGGATGGTAAAGTACGAGTACTATTAGAATTCACGAACCAATGGATGGATGGAAATGTGGGTTTCAGTTTTGATGCTTGCTAGATTTCGAAATTGTTTTTTATTCTATCAAAAGTTTTTGAGGTGATGTTGTGACACCTTCAAAATAGTCGTGTTCTTCATGTTACAAAAATATCTTCTCTTCGTGATCATGTGATTGACTACCAGTACTGGTGCGGCACCAGTAATCAATAGCAGCAAACTAAAAAAAGTACTTCATAACGCGCACTAAAGATGAAAAGTCATTTTCAATCCGAAAACGATCAACCATGGAAACATCAACACTTATCTCGCGTCGTCTCAAAACCTACAAGCATTGTCGGCCAAAAACATTTTCTACATCATTCCCACAATCCCAAGAAAATCGAATTCGCTCTCGTTTGCTGAATCGCCTGGGTATTCTCCATCATCAGAAAGATTCGCCAAGCAATGAAATGCCGCGTGTAACAAGGCACGAACTTCACTCAATTCAGACCAAAAACCAATCCGTCCCTTTTTTTCAACCTCTCCGTGATAGTGACGAACACTGCTACCTCCTACCAACAACAATATATCCGACAACATTTACCACTAGCAAACATGGCACAATTCGTGCCAATATTTCGATGAAAAGAACGAAAACAAGTAGGGTACGATTCGATAACAAAGTGTTGGTGGTTCCTATTCCTTCGAGACACGCCTACTCCAATCGGATCAAGAAGGCCTTTTGGAGGGATGGAAATGAACTAGAAGATATTGCCGATAGGAATCATTACGAATATGCATCCGAAGGTTCGGATTGGAGTAAGGTCTTAGAAGACGAAGATATGTACATCGATGTCGACACTGGAGAAAAAGTTCATCCTTGTTAGGTGGAACAAAAAGAGGACGAGGAATAAGATGCCAATAACGATGAAGATGAAATGAACACTTCCCATCTTGAGCTAACCAAATTCCTTTTATCCATGGATAAAATAGGACTCGTGAGAGGTCTTATTTGAACGCAATGTGTATCCGTTCAACGAAGACTTTGTAGTTTAAAGAATATGTAACACGCCACAATATAAGTGTAAATTTACAAAAACACGAATGAGAATGAGATACTAGTAGTAAGAAATACATGCACCAAGAATACTCTTCATCAAAAAGAAAAATATCCTTGGACATTTCCAACATGTTGATTACATCATAGAGGCTACTACTGGGAATCATTGCTATCAAGGTTTTAAGCTAAATTCTAATCAATTCTTCCTCATCTAATAGTCCTCCAATGGACAGCAGACCGCGTGTGGCGCGATTTGATCAAATGATCATGTTTGCGTCACCACACTAGCATAGTATCTTAAAAGTAGGACAAGCTACTGATGACACAGATTTGAAGTTTGACTGCAAATGACGCATCTCCATCTGCCGGGACCAATATCACTGCCATTAGAAATGAGATTGTTGACCGGGCGATGTCAAACTTCCGATCCTCTGCAAAACCACTGTCTTCATGAAATTTTGGGAACGTAGTATGAAGTTGATCCGGAAAGCAACGACGATGTTCTTTCTACGTCAAATGATATCCCGTCACAGCTGAAGCAAACCGTGCAGGTGACTCTGCTGGTCCCATCGTGGAACGAATCTATCAGAGGGATGGATTCTTCATAGGCAGTTAGTGTTGCATTCGACGACTTCTCCCAGCTGCTGGGTCAATCGACAGGTCCGGTCCTTTTCATGCGACTCATCGCCTAGTGTAGGTTTTATTTTCAACAGCACATCATCATGCAGCATTGCAACGTGACGTTAACATCGTCAAAAGTGCCACCCAATTACCTCACGAAACGCCCAATAAATTGAATGTCAACGTATCTTAATTGCCGGTCAATTGGAAGCTACATACTATTTGTAACATCATACGAGTATTATTTTTGAATCTATATTTGTTTTCTATTGTGAACAAGCCTCCCTCATCGAACAACCTCGATCGACCCTATATTCTCGTCTCCTTGTTCCCATGGCATCACGAAAAAACTCTTCGATGTGGGATCGAAACGATGGACTAGGCCATCGCAGACATTCCATGAAGCGTGTCTTCGTGTCTCTGGGAAATTTCGCCGGAATGGTAAAAGCTCCAACAGATTGTGCAAAAATTGCGATGGAAGCAATCCAACAAAGGGTTTGATCTAGGCTTGAGCGACCTAGATCCATCTCGGATCCATCTTTGACTTTAGCCCTTGATCGAGCGTGGAAGATGGGTTATACTAAGGAAATGGGACGTCATTAAGTACCATTATTTATCTACTAACTCAGCAATGGTGACATTTCGCGTCCTATTCGTTTGGGAGCACGAATCGACTGCTCTCCTGGATTCCAATCCCTTCCCGACGACATGAGTCCCGTGGCTGATTGTGTCTCTGACTCGGAATCGTTTTTTCTGTGTAACGTCGTCTCCTGTATAGTTGAATACATTGGGAAAGTGTATCACTACGACTGATCGGACTTTCAGGACAACAAAGTTGTCAGGCTAAGTCTTGTTTCGTGTTTGGACAGAAGATTATCATATCAACAAATCCACAATGGGTCTATGTGCTACAGTCTCGTTGTTGTTGTATGGTACTAGCTTCGAGGAAGTATTGCTGCGGCTGGGTGCAAGGTCCTGAAGCCTTGCCCCTTGTTGTTGCTGTTTCTGTTTCTGTTGCCGCAGCTGATCTTTGTCTAGAGGCGGGGTGTATCCATTCGGATACAGAATTTCGATGATGGAACTGAGCTTGCCGGTGCCCACCGATGGGAGCAAAGGCGCAAAACTCGAATCCTCCCGGCCGCAGCTGGGCAAACTGGCAAAGAGCTGGCCGTTTATGAGCAGCTCGTAGTTTCGGAAATGTTCGTTCATGGGCGGGGCACAGGTTGCCAGCACGTGGAGCTTGAGGCTCTCGTCCCGGGTCTTCCAGTTGTGATCGAGGACGCTCCGTCCCTTGTTTCGGCCAAACCAGACCTCCGTTCCGTCCATGGTGATTTGTTGCTTGCCGGTTGATTTGCTCCAAGCCAAAACAACTTGGTGTTGCCGACCGCCGTTGCTGAAAAAGTCCCACGTGACCCTTATCTTGCTGCTCTTCACCATCTTTCCCACGTTTGCTTCCGAGTATGAAACCTGGTACATGTTTCCGTTGGATCCGGTTTCTAGCTCCATCTTCGATCGATTTCTTTCTCTATTGCCTTTTCTCAACTGCTATGGGCGGGTGCAACAATCTCATCTGCTGTATTCCGATGCCTCTCGAATTCCGTTTGTTTTGTATCGGTATGGAAGTGCTTGTTCGGCTGCACCAAGGTACGTAGTTTGTGCTCCTCTCCTCGCTTCGTTCGCACCGATATTTTCTGGTTTCCTACCGATATTTCCAACTCCAACTCCGACTCCGACATCTTCCCAGCTTCTACCGTAGAGTAAGAGTACAAAAGAAGAGAAGAAGAGGCCGGTGCCGTAAGCTGTCACTAAAAATTAGTTTTCCTCGAGCAAACGACGTCCTGTGAACTTTCGGAACACCGTTTTTGGTGTGCGCGCCAAAAAATGACACGAACGTGACACTTATCGTACAGTTCGTTCGTACGTACGCACGACTTTTCTAACTGTTGAACGCTGGTCGGACGTCGACCAGTTCAATGTACGTAGCGATTTCTGCGAAAAGCTGAAATTCAGCTTCTTGTAATACAGTACTGAATCCGGTTGAGTCTTACGAAGTGTTCTTGTTTCGTCTACGCTACGCAGTACGAGTACGAATCATACCGGGTGGTACGCGATCGCATTGACCGTAAAAATGATTGGGCTTGTTGTACAGTAAGTACGAGTAGGGTACGGTACTGTATTGCGCGCATCTGAGTGAACTCTTCTCCTCCTAAATCTTGATCCGAATTTCAATCGAATCGGCAACGGCTTGTTGGTTTGGACTCGTGTGACCACAAACATGCCGGTTGCCCCTTCCCTCGTCCCTACCGGTACGGAACACGCATTGCAACGAAATCCGAATACGAGCACGTACCGTACTCGACATGTCCCCCACACCCTCGAATTCCAGCGCTTGGGTGGCACTGACCGCCTTCGCCGCCGGTGCGGCCACAGCCCTAGTGGCCTCGAAGATCCTTAGCGGCAACAAGACGGACAAAAGAAATGCCGGGGCCACGATCGAAGGAGAAGATCTCAGTTTGTTCTACGGTGACGTCGAGGAACTGACCACCATAACGCCTTCCAGAAAGTTCCTGCCGGAGGAATTGTATGGGAATCTGGTCCGGGACTGCATTGTCTTTTGCGTCGACATCGTCCTGGTGCGAACGAGCGAAGGCGGCAAGAAGGAGTGCCTCCTGGTCAAACGATCCTCGGAGCCCGTCAAGGGGGCTTGGTGGTGGCCCGGCGGCAGAATGCTCAAGGGCGAAACCTTCTTCGATGCCGCCGAACGAAAGGCCAGGCAGGAGACCGGTTTGTCGGACGTGACCTGCGTTCAGGTCCTCGGGATATGGAACACCTTCTTTCCGACCTCGAACTGGGACACCGATGCCGACAAGGGAACGCAAACGGTGAATGCCATCGTTCTCGTCGAACTGAACAGCGGGGGAGACGTCGAACTGGACGACACCAGCGAGGAGTGCCGCTGGATTCCGCTGGATCCAGAAGTTGCAGAAGCGAACGGAGAAGACAAATACGTGCTGCAGGGTTTGCTTCGACTGAAAGCCTGGAATCCAAGCTACGCGAAATAGTTCCAGGGCGCAAACAAAGCAATGTTTTTCGGCGTGGTTTGTGCTATCATTGGTGTGTTGGGCTGGAACGACCAATTAAAATACATGCATATGGATGGGATGTCGCAAATATTAATTTAGTTTAGCAACAGAGACCAGAGAATAATGTTTTAGCTCACAACGAAGGCAATCAGATTACGATGCACCATGCCATGCCTATCGCTCTTAGCTCGATTGATGGGGAAACATGATTCGTCGGTACGCGTCAATGACGTTCTGTTTTCCGCTCGTGTTTTTTCTCTCGTCTCCGGGGCGCAACCAAAGTGGATCTTCCTTGCCGGGACGCGCTCTGTTTTCGTTTGCTTCCCACCGGAGCTGAACCGCCAGGTATCGATTGAGTTCCTTCATCGTTTCGAGAGAGATTTCCTTCTTGCCGTAGGCGTCGTCGTGGTGAGACGCCGGGGCCACCGTGATCGGGTACATGGTGGTAGGAATGTTCGCGGGGGAAGCATCCTCGTTTTCTTCTTCCGAGAGGTGATCGCCGGGTCCATTGTCGGCCACTTCTTCCAATACAAAATCGTCCCGCACGTACAGCCCTTCACCTAGTACACCAAGACCGCTCCCGTCTTTTCGCTTCAAGACGTTGACGGTTTTGTTTCGTGAGTTGGACACCTCGGTGTATCGGTAAAGTGGCGTTGCAAACCCTTGGATAGGTCCGTCCAGGCCGTGCCATGTTCTAGTGGTGTGAGAGACTTGGTCTTTTACGGAAAGGGCTACCAACTTTTGACTCGCTTTCCCCAGTGCAAGATTCACGAGTTGGTGGTTGTCTTCCGCATCCAAAGCGGAAACCCCTGCGTTTGAGGCAATCATGTGCTTCATGTGTTCCAGAAGTTCCGGGTTGATCTTTCCCCCCGGTCGATCCGCAAACGGCAAGCCCCAGGTCATGATCCCCTGGATTCTTCCGTAGTGATCGAGGTAAAAGACAACCCCGACCCCGTACACCGGCTTCACGAGACCGCGGGAGTTGACTCGGCCGGTCTTGTGGCGGCTGATAACAAGACTTTTCCGACGCCTGATCGACCCTTCGTCAACATCCTCGTCTTTGCCATCGTCCCCATCGTCGTCTTGCGAACTTTCTGATTCGTCCTTGATGAAGCGATTCATCTTCCGCCGTGCGGAAGAGTTGGTCCACCAAAACGCTCTCGTCGATTGTCGCTCGGAGTCACACTTCCCCACACCTAAACACGAAAGCGGGATGCTGTAGAATGAGTTAAACGCAGATTCCCAACGACAACACATACGAAAACCACGTTTCAAAATTACTTACACAGTGCTTGCACACCAATGCTAGAGAGAGACGAGATCCGGTCCCCGTTACAGGCCGGAAAAGACGTAATATCGGAGCGCCATATCGGGAGTGAATTGGTCGCAAACGAGTGCGCTTCTTCGATATCATCTCCGGAGGAGGAAAACCCATAGCTCGAGGATGCCCGTGTTGCCAGGCGATAGTCCCGGGACATGTTCAGGGCGGCCAGACGACCCGCTTCGGACCCGTCGATAGATCCCTCCCCGGCAATGCACGAATGGCCCGTGGAGCTGTTCGGGTACTTGGCGCAGCCCCCCGCGGCGTAGATCCGTGAGGCTACGTGTAGCTCGGCATTGACCGATATTCTCCCGTCGTCTTCGAAACAAACAAGCGCTGATGGCTCCGCGTTTCTCCGTCTGGCCATCTGGGACCAAGTTTTGTACCACGGACGACCATCGCTGGACTCCTTCATGCTTTCCGGAACGTCCATGGTTGGAAGCGCCGCGGTTCCCTTGTCACCAAACGAATCGGGGGCAACAACCAACAGGTCCAAAGCAGTTCTGCGAGTATCCATCAAGTCGTAGGTCTTTGCGGTGTGGAGCTCGATTTGCTGGCGGTTCGATTGCTGGTAGTCTGCGACGTACCTGACGAACGAACGATCCTGCACATCAACCTCGCGTTTGCCAAGTTTCTTTCGCAGCTCCGCGCTCAGATAGGGGGGCAGGGTGTGCCACGCAATGCCCGAGCTGGCGAAGCACATCGTTGGCCTTCTCTTGGTGGATTTGCACGCCCGCTCCGCCACCAAGAGGAGATCGAGGGCCTCCCACCCGCTCCCCAGGACTGCGATTTTCGCCCCCTTCGCCGCCGCTTCCGCAACCGCGTTCCTGACCTTTTCGGGGGCCATTGCCGGGCGTTTTGTGTTTCGGAATAGCTCGGTAGGCCGCAGTTCGAGGACTCGGGGCAGCGACTCTTCCTGGAAGAGCTCCAGCGGTGGGGGTGCCCCCCGTGCCCCCGTCGCGATCAGAACGCCGTGCTTGTAGCGAATCGCTCTGCGGCTTGGATCCGCGGCCAGCAGCCGAAGGGTTTTCGAGGACGGGTCGAATTCGACCACGGTATCGCGGAAATAATCGGTGTCGACGCCTTTGCCTTTGGTTCCTTTGTTTGGGGAACGCAATGGATCCACGAGGGCCACCCTGGCCCCCGGGCATTGTTCCTGAAGCGTGCGCAGGGCACTCTGGCCCGCATTGCCGTATCCAACGATAACGAAGTCGTACAGAGCAGTGTTTCCGACGCTACCGATTGCCTTCCCKGGTTCAAGGCAGGTTTTTCTCTGCCGTACCGATGTCGCCAAAATCGTGTTGTTTTCGGATGCGATCCTGGAGGCAGGCTTCGAAGCCGGCTCCAGCGACGAACGGTTTGCTTCCAGCAAACGGGAAAATCTCGAGAAAACAGAGTGGATCTCCCGTAGTCGATTGCGCACCGTACAGATGGTGTCATCCGCATTGTTGTTGACCTTGAGGCTGCAGTGACACGTATCCTCGTTCTCGAACAAAAGCGGAGAGGAAGCTATCTGGCAGCCGGCGAGTAGGGATCCGCCTGCCAAGGACAATGTCCGCAGCGTGCTGTGGAATCTACCGTGGCGAAAGATGTGGTGCGGAGTCATGCTATGATGGAATTGATGTTTTGATTTCGATTTCGTATCTCAACAGATTGTGCGCGGTATGCCTTCGTATCGTTTGTCCTTTTCCCAATCAAACGATCCACTTGAAACGCAAACTTCCAACTATGGACATCGATATTGGCATTGCAGCCGTAATAGAGTGCCGTACGTAGTATTGATGCTTTTAATCCCTTCGCAGCGATTCAGTGTGATTACGGTTGCTGTTCTTACTTCAGGTAGATTTCAGATTTCAGATACAAAACAGTAAAAGATGGATGAAAGAGGAATCCAGTGGCGTACAGGTCAGTTGTACAATAACAGGAGACACGCGTCTCACACATTCTCATGCATGTGATTGTTGATCAGTCGAAGTCTCACCTCAATTCTTCTTGAATTGTTCTTTTCGTTCCACCGTGTGGAACACCAGCGCTTTTCGAGCAAAGAGTACTAGTAGTAGCTAGTATTAGTTCTTAGTAAGGCATGTTGCCAGAACATCTTGTTCCATTAATGCAACTAGGTAGCTACTACTACTAGATACTAATAGTTATATCATTCATAGTAGTAGTAGTAATATTATAATTGCTACTGACTAAAGTAGAACTATAGTAGTACTACTACTAGTACTACTTGTTGTTGTACTACAATACAACAACAAGAAGAAGCCATAATACTACTACTACTAGTTCATGATGCTGCTTCTTCTTGTTCCTCCTGTTCTTCTTTGCCATGACCAAAAAATGAAGAATCTGTCCTCCTCACCAGCAATCAATTCTTATTCTTATTCTTGCTTGCTCCAAATTGAAGATCCATCAGTCCCTTCTTGATTGGTGGTGGATGCATCCTCTTCTTCACTCCTTCTTCTTCTTGTACTAGTAGTAGGAGTACTACTACTAGAAATATTGTTGCTTTCCTCACTACTATTGAAACCATGAGACGGGTCCTCCTTGTTGCCAGAAATTTTCCTATCTTTTCATGACATCTGGGTCCAATAACAATCTCAATCAACTGCTGCTGCTGGGACAGGTTGAAGAAGTCAAACTTCTTTGATCATTATTGGTGTCTGCTCGCTTTAAAAGACCTTCTCACTTCATTTCACATTGAATGTAATAGTAGCAACAGCAGAACTATTCTTGAAATTAATTTGATCTCTATGAAGGCAAACACTTCAGCACTAATAGTAGTAGCCCCAATACAGCAAATTCCATTTAACTGCTGCAATTCTATTCCGCTTCTAGTAATTGCCACAATTTAACAGCTTTGGATTCACAAAAGGCAACACCCTTTCATGTTGCGATGTACAAGGAATGCGTATTGCGAAAGTACTGATAGTTGTTGAGCGAAAGCTGATCAAAGTAAATTACGACTTGTCAGATCCAACTACGACTTCCAGTCTATCTTGATCAAGAAAGTCGATCTTGCTTCCGTCGGGGACGGTCTCTTTCAATTTCTCCAGTTGTGGAATTTCTACTTCTTGAAGAAATATCGCGAGCAGGCATTCGGCTCGATTCATGCAAAAGAGCGGATCATCGAGAATTTTGGCGTGAACGTCTGCCAATCCGTCGTCGCCGCTATCGCTATCACGAGCGAGGTTGTTTTGGTGCTCGTCGGATAAAACCCCAAAGTTTCCCCATTCGTCGTACTTTCCGATCCATTCCACGCCCGAGACGCGTTCGGCCAGTTCTTCCTCAAGCGCATCGAGCCGCATGATCACTCCCATGATCCTTCCGGCGAGCGTCTGTTCTTCGTCCTGGGTCATCAGCATTCCGTCAGCCTCGCTGGATTCTTGTCGTTTCTGTATTGCGTCGGAAGCGAATTGCCCAGCCGTCACCATCACCATGAGTGGTTCGACGGTTTCGGTGGCACGAAAGTGCATCGTGTCGTCGTCATCGTCGTCCATTTCCTGTTTGCTCTGTTCAGCACGGGCCTTCAGGGCATCGACAATTGCGTTTATCGCGGTAGGGTGAATGGAAGGTCGAACACCGTTGTCTTCCCGTAATGGATCACCGATTTTCTTCTTCTTTGAATCCTTTCCATCATCAGTTTTTACGTTGTTCTCCAGAAATTCTTTGTCTGCAAGAAGATCCGCAATATCAATGTCAGGGTTCTCTATATTGTCGTCGTTGCCGTCGTCTTCTTCGACGAGCGAGAAAATCGTGTCTCTCGCCGATAATTCAAAGTTCTTTCCCGTAACCAGTTTGTCATTTTTAAAATTTATTTGCATTAGTGTTCGGTCACTCTTATACTGATAAACAGCGGGAGTAAAAGCATAGTTTGGTATTGGCAAAACTGCAATGCCCACTGCAATGGTAAAGATTAGCGCGGCACCGAGTGCCATAGAACCGACAACGGGCATTTTCTTTGCAGGATGTCGGGTTGTCGGCATAGCTCGTATTGCTTTGATTACAACTTTATGCTCTTCGAAACTTCTTTCCAAATGCGGTGCCACGGTTTGGTATTTCAAAGATGCTATTAGAAGTGGCAGATGACAAAGTACCAACTTATTTTCAACAGAGCAATCTTTTTGTTCCAAAGGAAAGAATCCACTACGGTACATCCATCAAAAACAACGTAATACTACGTACGTACGCACCACCGTGCGGTACGAGTTGAATTCTGTAAGTTGCGAAAACCGAAAACTCACTAACGATACGGTACGTACCGCATCATCATCGCAAAGCCACTCATTTATTTTTACGGATAACGTAACTCTTATCTTGACCCGCGCCAATTTTTGGCGTACAATCGCGGGATGGATTCGCGTGACGGGCTTCAGATCGGTTCATAAAATTTCACAGTACTGTTCCTATGTAACGGCACTTTAACGTACAATACACCGCACTGTAGAGTCTCAAGTACTAAGTGATTCCTGCTTCATGAATTCAGATCATGAAACTATTCAGGTGCCAGTTATTTTACGGGTAGAGAACCGAACTCGCACTTGAAAAACGGTATTTGGGATTTGGGTGGATGGTGAAAGCCTAGTACTGAAGGGTTCGTACTACGTACCGGTAACGGCACGAGTTCGTATCAAACAAATGAAAAAGTGAGAATTGAAGATTGTCAAAAGTGCGAAGTAGAGTAACAGTAGCCTCGCACCCGCAACAAATTATTGGCCTTCCTTTTCAAACGAAACTGCAAATTATTGAACTCGGGATTCGCAATAGCATCACAACAATAACAACAACAAAAACAACAAAGGTATTGGAGTGAGAATTTCTGCAAGATGGGAAAAGAATTGAAGGTTGAATTTGGTAGGATTAATCAAGATAATATAGAGCAAGTAAGTGGATTGAGAATAGAACGCAGTACATTACGAACCATCGGCCGATTTTATATTTGATGCAATACGATGTTGTAGTACGAAATTGTGGTGAAATGTAATACAATCTGTTGTGGTGCTGTATTTGGCTGTAGTGTCAACTAATAGTGAGCATCCTATTGGCTTTCGCATGGTATGTTGGCAGCTGCGAAAGGTAAACCTTGCGTGTTTCCCTGTTCAGTACCAAGAGAAATATTACAAAGATGTCTCGGCGAGCGTTGGCGAGGGTCTTTGTAAGTTTGCCTACTGGAATGGTTTCGTGGTTGGAGCAGCGTCTTCACGAATAGAGCCCATCAACGGCAGCAATGGTAATACTGACGAGCCAAAGAACGACAACGAAAGCAACGAAAAACGCATCTACATTATGACGCTTGGGGTTTTAGCGGCCTATCGGGGACGAACCATCGGCACACAATTGATTCAATCGATACTTGACTACTTCGAGGAAAACAAAAACGAGTCACCCGAGCTAAAAGATGTTATCGAGATCTCTCTGCACGTTCAGATTTCGAACGATGACGCCATAAAGTTTTACACCGAGAAATTCGGCTTTGAAAAGGGAGAAATGGTTGAGAATTATTACCGCCGCATCGATCCCCCCCACTGCTACAAACTGTACAAAAAAGTGAGGTGAGGAGAGTAAACAAATAAACAAGCGAGAAAGCTATAGTACTGATAGAACAATTGGTACAGAGTGATTCTCGTTGTGAGGCGTGATGAAAATGAGAGACAATTTGTCTCGTGAACAAAGATATCCATCAATGGTATGGGCATATGCAGAACGAAGCGGATTGGTTTCGGTACCAATTACTAAATGTCTATCCGGTCATTATAGTGTTGCTCGCTGCGTCTCAAAATAGATTCGAGAATAGAAAACTTCGAATAGAAATTGTTATTTGTACCGCTATTGCCGAGATCAAACGTCCCATATATTCCGAAACTGTGTTTCATACCGCGCACTTTATCGATAGCGATCCGATTGCAGTCGATTTTTTTCTTGCATTGCATGGTTGTGAGAGTCTCGCAGAAGGAGTGGGATTCTCAGGCTCGTTTTTCGTTCACGTAGTTGCGCAGTCGCTCCATACCGAGCTCGAATTCGTGGTCGCTAGCCGCCGTGAATACGCAGCGGAAAAACCCAGGCAGTTCGTTTTTCATGCTATCTCCGGGTGTGAAAAGAAGGCCATACTCTGTGAGTAGCTCCAGATATAGTGCCCGTTCCCGCTCGGAAGGCGTGCCAGTTTCGGGAAGAAACTCGGAAAAATCCATCCAACAGAAAAGTCCGGCGGTGGCATCCAGGTGGGGGATCCCCAGCTCGTCTAGGCAAGACTGCCACGCGTCCTTTCGCTCACGGATGCGGCGCTGGTTCTCAGTTAGAAATCCCTTCGTCCAATGGACCGACGAGGGTGGAGATACCTCTGTCATCATGTCTTCGACGAGGCACTGGGTTTGGGACGAGACACTGCACAAATCATTGAGTTTTTGGAGGGGGAGCCGAATTTCTGGGTTTTCCGAGTACAGGATACCGACCCTCAGTCCTGAAAGGGCGTAATCTTTCGAGAGAGCATAGACAAAGTGAACAAATGGTCCCAGGCCTAATCCCATCTCCGTGGGAGATGACGAGGAAGCCAGCTTTAGGGCCGACGAAAAGCCCGCGTGGTTCTGTTCGTAAACACTCCCGGCATATATTTCGTCGCTGATCAAGTGGATTTTGTGCTCCCGGCACCAATCGATCGCCTCTAGTACAACGTCCGGTGGATAACAGATTCCAAGTGGATTTTGCGGGTGGCTGATGAGGAGAATGCGCGGTTCAATACCGTTTTCGTCGATTGATTTTTGCCGGGCGGCGTCTAGGGCCGCTCTGGTGAGATAATAGGCCTCCGGTGGGGGGCTTTCGCCACTGCTGCTATCGAAACCGGAGTGCTCCATGGTAGGCACTGGAACTACTTCAAGCCCCGCTCTTGACCCCAGATCGAATTCAAATGCAGCGTAATACGGCAGTGGAATCATCACCCCTTGCCCCGGTTCAGCCAGCGAAACGCAAAGATTCTCCAGGACGGCGTTGCAACCCGCCCCCACTACGAGCCCATCGGGGTCTAGGCCGCCACTTGTTGCCACATCCAGCTCCAAGAGATCATCAAGATAATCCTTGACGGCGTTGCGCAGGGGCTCGCGTCCGTGGGTGGGTTGGTAATAAATGGCATCAGCGGGAAAGGACTCCCTCGCTCTGGAAAACTTGGTCAGGGCGGGGACCAACAAATCCTCGAGCATCTGGTTCTCGGCGACGCTTAGCTGGAGCGCACCATCCGGGGCACTGGATTGGCAATATTTTTGAACGGCCCTTGCGTCCGTCAGGTACGTTGGCAAGAGAGACACGGCCCGGCCGGCACGGGAAGAGCTCAGAGCGCCCTCGTCGTTGTGATCTGTCATCGTTCGAATGGCAGTGGTGCTGTGATACAAGCGCTGCTTCTGCACAAAGGACAAGCGAGTCGGTTTCAGCGATGGACGACGACAAGTATAGTTTGATACCTGGGAAGGTCTGCCGTGATGTATACTAGTCAATGAAACTATCGATCTGGTCCTCATGATAAGCTGGCGAAAATACGGTACGCGATGTTGCTATCGTTTGTTTCTCCTCTCTTTGGCGCTCTACACTATCTCAAAGGAGGCAAAGATTTGGTCGCAGGTCATTCCGTGTTATATTTCTAAGTAGAACGGTACTTTGCAGGTAACGTAACGTAGTCTGTAAAATGGGAAAACGGAGCAAGTTGCTCTGTTAACGAGAGCTTCGCCGATCCAATCCGATCCATTCAAGAAGTTTACTGGCTGTTTTTAACGGGGAGCCATCAACGATCGACCGACCAAAAACGTCACGTCCCTAAATTCTAAATTTATCACCAGTTGGGCGGAGATGAAATAAACTTGGAAAGTTGCGCGACCTTCCAAAATTGTACGAAAAATGTAGAAATGGAAGTAAAAATAATTTAAAAATTTCATGTTTTTGCAAAAACTTTCTTGTTCGAATGGATCGGGAAAGCACCTACGATCTACTACGAACTAGTACTGGCAGTGAAGCAGTATGAGATGTAGTGCTTTGTTCCAAAGTCCATACTGGCTCGTTTGAAGGAGAAAGCAACGCATTCTCAGCAAGATCTTTGCTGGAACATGCCATTTCCATCTGCTGCAGAAGCTTCTCTGTTCCTCCACTATATTGCTGGCAATTTAGTGTCCTGTTTGTGAAAAGAGTTCAAACCGATTTCATTGTGAAAACGAAAAGAAGTAGCATTCATTACTTTCTACTGTACCAACGAACTAGGGCATTTTCCAGCGATTGCCTATGGCATGAACTTCGTACCAAATGATTGAAGACTTCTCTCTCGTGAAGACCAACAAGAATTTTTTAGATCAGGGTGCGCCTGTATGAATTAGAGTTTCAAACTGGTGCTAATTGTACTAATCTGTCGCTAGTTTTTCATTTCTATATCAAACAAATGTTGCCATGGTATTCATCCAGTTGCAGCAATCGCTTGTATGTGATATTTACATGAATGCACGCGCTATATTCTAATCAGAACTAGTGGCACAATCAGATGGAAAGCACACTCCTATTTTTGAGTTTCGACGTTGAGTTCAATTTTTGAGGTTCGCCTTGTTTCTCGAATTTTCTCTCAGGCTCTGTGAGATAAGCGACAAGACCTACGACATTAACGAATTCAAGTATGTTGCATTACTTGAACTGTCATAAAAACCATTTCGACTATCTGCTGACAGTTATTTGCTCGTTTCATCGATGGCTTCATAGGTATCCTGTCCGTCCAGTTCATCGGTCATCTGCTTCGCCAGTTCCTTTTCCTCGTGCCGAGCTAGGTGCGCAGCGACCGTTTCTCGTTTCCGTTCCCCTAGTACTTGCCGGATGGCCCCCATGCTCTTCTGGACCTTTTTAAATCGCTCGGGTTGTGGGAATATCAACTGGCGGCGCCGAGACAGCTGCTGCTCCGTCAGCAGCATATTCTTTTCCTTGTACAGAACGTACCAGAGTCGGTGGAGGTCCTCGTAGGACTTGCGGCGGAGTTCCTTGGCGGACCATTGCCTCCCAACGGTTTGCTCCATTCGGGTGGACCGATCGACTGGGTCTCGAAAGGCGTCGAGCGGGTTGGGTTTGTATTCTCGTTTGCTTGTGGTTCTAGTGGAAGAGTACGATCGGAGTGGGCTGCTATGTCCGGTTCTGTTTTCGGAAAAACCCACATGTGCGTGTGGAGCTGCCGCAACAGCGTTGCCAACTACCGGTGCTTTGGTAACTGCCCGGAATGATCCGGCTGTCAGCCCAAACCCACGGCGGGTTAGGTGCTGCATACTTCTGTAAGCCATTGGAGTAAATTGGTCTGTGTCTACTGCAGATTTTTGTACTTGGAGATAATGCAGTGTGCAAGAGGTCGGCTGGATGTCACAATAAATTCTCAGCTTGGTCTCCCAGCTGATGTCGATTCAATGGGAGATCATGTGGTGAAGGATGATCTGTTCTAGTACGCGAGTACGAACTCGTACTGGTACCGTGGGGATAGACACGAAATGCAACTAATTTTGCTACAGTAGGAAATCATGTACAATTCTACGTATGTGTATATTGTATTGATTCCTACTGCCGGCATACCCTGCCAGTAGAGCAAAAAATCCGAAAAGTCGGTTAAACGTTAAACAGAATTACTTACATCATCAAGCAAAAGGCAATTTCCATAGCAAACAGAAATATGATGAAGGCAATTCTTGACAATAACAGAAACATATTATTATGACACTTATCTAAGATCTTAGGGGGGCAAGTTGTTCGCAGCTACCCCACCAGCACCAACAACTTGTAGTATCACCACCAGCGGACAGCCAGCACCACCACCACCGTATCAGCAGTGAGCCTCCGTATCAGCATCCTCTGAAACAGTGATTTGTATCAGTGATTTACATCAGCATCCTCCGTATCACAGAGCCTCTGTATCAGCTCTTCTGTATCAGCAAGCATCCTCTGTATCAGCAACTCGTCTACTATCAGCTTCGTCCTCCATATCACCAGCAAGCGTCCTCGGTATCACCAGCAACTCGTCCGTATCAGCTTCATCCTCTGTATCAGCAAGCATCCTCTGTATCAGCAACTTCTCTGTATCAGCATCCTCTGTAACAGCAACTTGTATCAGCGACTTGTATCAGAATCCTCTGTGTCAGCATCCTCCGTATCAGCATCCTCCATATCAGCATCCTCCATATCAGCATCCTCCATATCAGCAAGCATCCTCCATATCACCAGCAAGCGTCCTCTATATCAGGAAGCATCCTCTGTATCAGCGAGCCTCCTTATCAGTAAGTGTCCTCTGTATCAGTGAGCCTCCATATCAGCAAGCCTCCACATCCTCAGCATCCTCCGTATCAGCAAGTGTCCTGTGTATAAGTGATCAAAAAATTATTAGTTTGCACCTCCATGCTGCATCCAATACCCCGATGACTGGTGGGTTGCATTGTTGCACTCTCCACGTATTTTCAATGGCTTAGAATGGACCTCAGAGGCTACTGAATCCCACCTCTATTACACTATGGTATTTTTCTCTCATGTTAATAACCACACAAAAAAGTCATTAGAGTTGCAAAAATAGGTGTATGACTTACGGTATGTGGGTATTTTGGGTCATACGCCTATTTAGTAGGAATTTTTATGGCTGCTGAGGCAATAATGAGAATGAAATTCTAGTTGCAAAATACTGGTACGATAGGATTTACTTTTTTTATTATTATTAATCAGTCATGGTGAACTAAACAGAGCTGCCATTTGACCCCCCTTCTGCTGGGCAATGATGTACGACAGCAGACAGAAATCTTGGGATGAGGGTTTGGTGGGTTGACTTGATACTGTTTATCTGGAGTATGGGTTGTTGTCCTAAATAATGCAATCAAAATAACAGCATATGAGTACAAGTACAATTAAAACAAGCCATTGTTTACTAACCAGCAGTTAATGCTAGTTACAAGCATCAATCAGAATTAGAGAATCTCTTAGTCACCAGAAAGGGTTATCTCTCCTCTTTTGAGGATACTACATCATGGGCATGTTGCTGTTGTTTTTGCCAGAGAACCTCCTTTTCTGACTTCTTAATTACTCTGTACACAAAAAGTAAGAAAAAACTAATTAATACAACAACCTCCAGGATAGGGACCTGACACTCCTCCAGTTGTTAGACCATACACCCCATATTTATCACACTAGTAGTACACGCAGGATCTATGGCATATAAGAGAAAGGGGGTCTGGCAGTTGCAGATTGATTGAATCAGTGCTTTAGAAGGATTAGGGCACTATTGCAGCAGTAGCAAAATCAATAAAAAATCAGAAAAAGGATGACCAGCAACAGTAGCTGCTGTAGTAACAACAAGCACTCAGCAACAGTGAATTGCAATGAAACTCCCAGAATAGAGGATGCAGTGCAGTTCAAAACATATGTACTACTAGATGTGATTGTTAAACTTCTCTACCCTGAGGTACACACTCTACATTCACAACTCATTCAATCCTAAGAATCCTTACAATTGATTGACTCATTTGATTCACACACATCACTTTGTTCTCACTTTGATCAATTTTAGATTTCATAGTTATTTGATCCTCTCAGCAGCAGTTGGTCCAGCTGTTGAAGTGTAGTGCTTCTCAGCAGCAATCAGCCTCTTAAGGCCCACAAAGAAGCAGAGTTTTTCATTTTTGAGACATCTGTTTTTGGAATTAATTTGGATTTTGATTTTATTCCACCTTCTAGTAGTAAGCAGCAGTGGCCAGATTTTGATTTTATTTTTCTGATTTGAATTCTCAAAAAGTGAGCTCCTTGGAACATCTTGTCTGAAGCTCAGAACTGCTCTGAAAATGCTCCAAATCAATACTACTATAAAATAGTTTCTTTTTGCTTTTATGTGGAACTGAGTGATAGTTTATAATTTTTGTGTAAAATAGTTGTATTAGGCTTGCCGTAGACACCTGTAGATTTCCTACCAGTTTTGGACCTGTTGCACACAATTTTGGACAGTTGAAGAATTTAGTGAAGCTTATAGTACAAGCGCAGTCCTGAAAAGAGATAAAGTAGGCCAAGAACTTGGTTACCATAAAACTTCCCAGAAACTTAATGGAACTGAAGAGCTGATGTCTCTGCTGGATAGTTTAGAGAGGAGTAAGAAGGAGAATTTTACAAAAACGGTGTATCTTTTCATGAAACCTCCTATTAAGACGTTTGCAGGTGATTTCAATAGTAGGAACCACAGACAGTAGTAGTACACCACATTGACTAATGCTCGAGGAATCAAGGCACTGCAAAATAATGAGGACATTTCAAGGTACATTACTTTTTTGAAGACAAAGAGTACAGAGGAAGAAGGTCAGGTTCTTGGGGCAATTACCAGCAATCATCTGGAACAAGAATCAATCTTGTCCAAGAGCATATTCACATCAAGGAAACATTGACAAGGAGGAAACTGAAGCTGGAAAGGTGGAGGGCTCCTACATTGTTTCACAAAAGAACAATCCGATTCCCAATGAACTGATATTTACTATTGCATGAACCTTGGTGGCAAGGTCCCAGACCTCTGGTTGCAAAAATTTGTGTGGTGCATTCCTTGGATCCAGCAAGACAAATGAGGTACCATCCAAAAAGAACTGTTCCCAGTACATGATCCCTCTCTGATAGCTAAGCAACAACCTTTAGAGGGCATCAACATGCAGAAAGACTTTACAAATGCAGCCTGCCTTATTTCACAATGTTGGTGTTGGGTAGCATCACTCCCCTTTATGCTTACTACTGCACTCACAAGAAGAAGTTACTCTAACTGTGCTCTTGCCAGTGTCAGCAGTCGAAATGGAGAGAGGAACATAACAATGGTGGTGACCAACCCTTGGCTGGTATAGACGTAAAATATAACTAATAATGCAACCATGTAGTGAACAGATTACATTATCTATCTATGTCTTATAAATAGTGCAGAGCAAGACTGAAATGCAAGAGTATCTGGGTGATTGTTGGGAAGCACTCACACAATCATTAGCAAGGCAAATTTTATGAGAAAAACACAAGTTGTGAAGGTGATTCTTGATAATCACTTCAAATCACTGACACTCTTTGTCAACTATCTTGCAAGCCCCTGTTGTTGAGGATAGCTGCTAACAAACAAAGGGCTAACAGCTAAGATATACACAGTACTACTATTTTTTTGTATTAGTGATTATCCACAAGGAGTAACAAGTTTGGTGGAAGCCTATGAAAAGAATCTGACAGGAGAAAGTAGGCAATCCGAACATCCCATTATCCTTTTAGTGGCGCAACAAGGAACACAACTCAAATGTTTAGGCCTCAAAACTGAACTTCTATGGTTCTTATGCTGCATCTATGGTGGTAATCCTGATATGACTTGATGGGTAGCCTTTGACCAGATTGATCGTTCCGACCATAAAATAGGTTGACTATGGGTCTGCCCGAATACAATGTGAACTTGAACTGCGCATAGATAAAGCTATAGTATTGAAAGGGACGATAGTTGTTAATTCTAAATTATTTTTGTTTTGACGAAGATGATACAGTACACAAATATAGGTCTCGTTGAAGCAAGCTTCATAGTGATCAATCATCCCAGTTAGGATGACTTGGTCTGACACCATCCACTGTGCAATTTGAGCAAGCATAGTACGGGGAATCATCGTTTCCTAAGGTATGGGATTCCACCAAACACGGACATTCTTCTTCAACCCATTGTTTATGTTCGAAAGTCAGGCACGACTTTTCGAAAGACTTAGCGTACTTATTTTTGCGCTTAATCTGACTAAAGACGGTCGAGGCAAGGCCCCATTCTTGTGAGTAGCATTCAAAATTGTTTGGATTGCAGCAGACACAACAATTGCATTCAACGCCGGAACTACTCAGCCCACCATAATTGCCGCAATAATCTGCGCTAACAAAGGCTGTCACTTCGTTCTTGTACTGGTAGGCCGTCCCATTGCAAAATTCATTAAGCGAACCAACGAGTCCAGCATTACCATAAGTGTTGAAAATATAGAGATTTGGAAGGTCTGAAAACCCTTCAGGAATCCTTCCAGTCAGACAGTTGTCATTGACGGCCAATATTTCCAGCTTTTCCAAATCCGTAAAATCTGGAATGCTGCCACTAATTGAACCACCTGCAAGGTTAATCTCTCTCAGCGAATCCTTAAAGTAGGATAACTCGGGCGGCAGAGTTCCTGACAAATCATTCCACCCTGAATATGGGGTTGCAAATAATCAGAACAATTATATATCCGTGCGATTTCCAATAGCGCCAACGTCAAGGAAGAGAGGATGCGGGAAGTCAGATGGCGACATCCAGAATTTTGTGCCGAAACTAGTTGAGAGAACGATGCCAACGAAATATGAACTACGAATACGTTGAATCTATCCGCAAAGTAAGTACTTACACATGTGCATGAAAGAAACCCGCCCTTGCGTGTTGCAAATGATTCCTCTCGCATCCACTTCTTTGGGGACATAAAATTCATCTTCTTCTGTGGCAGTGGAACGGAAGGTGTTCCAGAGGCACGGATCAAGGTCTGACAGGAACCTGTACTGTTCTTCCCAGTTTGGTCCATTTGTTGCGAAGTAGAAGAGAGCCAACACAAAATGTTGTCGGATTTGTTGTACCACAGTGTCAGAGTTTGTTTCTGACTGCTCTTCCAAACTGTGGTTGTAGGTTGTGTTGCTGCTATGTTCTTTCAAACCCAGGATGGAGAAACGGGCAGGGTTGGATGTAACAAGCCATTCGAGGGCTTCAATTCGATCGGGAGAAGCTTGGGGACTTTCTGGGTTGAATACTTCTGGATCGGAAACCAGGGGAGTAAGAATCTCAATCAGTGATGAGCGGCGTTCAGAATACTTTTCGATGCTAAGGTTACTTTCCTCTGGAGTAGTGATCGAGTCACTGATAGTAGGATCCGTCGGCTCATTGTTTGGCTTTTGTTTCTTCCCGATGGTGAAGTTTATGATAAGAACAATCACTATTGCAATCACACCTACCACCGCAATCGCAATGAGTCTTTTAGTATAAGACTTGCTCTTGGGCTCTTCGTCATCGTTTACTTCTGTGGCCACTACAATCTTATCGCGATCCACTCTCATCGCTTCAGCTAAGTATTGCTCTTTGGATCCGTTAGTAGTCGACACGGTCACCAAAGCCTCAGGCGTCACTGCCAGTGATGTGGGCTAGGAACCACTAGAGTTGAGCGGATTCGAAACGGGGAAGGCCCCCGGAACCAATGCCGCTCCATTTGTGTTTCCATCGGTGCGAGAACCCTTTGGACCTACACCTTCGACTTTGTCGGTGGGACATTCGGCTCCTGTGTCAAAGCGATCTCCAGATGATTCGACGTCAAAGTCCTCTTCTGTCATCAAAATCTTCCCGTCCTGTCCAGACGATTCTTGCCCCTTTTTCTCTTCGGACATTTTGTGGTTAGACTAAGATGCTCCGAATTAGGTTCCAACCACGGAGTACGTTGTGCCGCGTGAATGGAACGGAACTCGGAATGACTTTACAATAAAAAGCGGAAGCAACGGAGGCATCGAGTGCGGGATGAGTCGATGGGTCCACTATCAGTGGAAGCAACGAAGGTGCGAGCAGATGGGTCCCCTATTAGTGCCGGAAGCAACGGAGGCGCGAGTCGATGCATCCCCTACCGGTATCAGCAGAAGCCGTCAAGTCGCTGGATCCCCTACCGTATGACTGTAGGCGCGCGAGTCGATGGACCTATCGGCAGACGCAGGCGGTTCACTGAGTCATTTAGGGGCAGGATACTAGAATTCGGTCGGAATCAACCAATCTGGTTGATTCTCTAATAAAATAGCCCCTTGATATCCAATTTCTTTTTTTTCTTCGTTTTCCAATACTGCATACTACGTACCGGTACAAAGGGGTCATAATTTAGGACCCCTGTCGGTACATACGGTACGACTGGCTACACTTATCGTACTGTTCCCACTAACTTGAAGCACTATCATAACAATTTTGCGAGCCATATCAGTCGCGTTCCATTTTTGGATTTTTGAGTTCTGAGGATTTTGGATGGATTGATTGATGACACGGATTTTGATTCCATGATCTATGATTCATTCGATTAAATTAGAGAGATGATGATGCCAACTTGACAGAGGTGCCGTACCGTACGTACTTCGTACAAACCCGTTCCCGAGGTACGATATAACACGATACGATACTCGTACTAGTACTCGTAACTCGTATCGTAAATCCATCAAAAGGAGTTGGAACTTTTACCCACAGCAACACAACACACTTTACAAACACAGAGCCGAAAAGGATGAAGCGGTGGCACACCGTTCTCATGTTGGGGTTGGTGTGCGTTTCGTCTCGGGCAGGCGGTTTCTTGCTACGTAGGGGCACAGTCTGGCACGGAGGCTACTCGCGGCGGATCTGCCTTGCAGGAAAGAGGGGGACGGGGGCAAGAGCAGCTGTTGTCTCCGCCACGAGAAATCGCCACCATCCGCGACGGCTGCCCGCTGTACATGCACACAGCGATGCAAGCGCGAATGCGGACGTCCCGACGATCCGCGACAGCGAGGTGCAGGAGCGGAGGAAGCCTCTGGCGTCTTCCCACCAACCAGCTTTGTCACGCTGGAACGGAAACATGACCAAGTTTTCCGACTTTTCCACCCACGTGGAGGTGGCGAACGGGGACGCACCGGTGACTGTCGAGACTGCCATTCTGCGATCGATGCTCGCCCTCGGTAGCGCTCCGAACGCAATCCGTGGCGGTGGAGACGGCGGAACAGCCGCTGCGTCCGAAACAAACCGAGGCGTCTTCGTCATCGAAGACGACCCCCGAGAGGTTGGCAGACGGGTCGACGAGGCAGGCCAGGCCGCAAGAACCATAGGCAGCCGGTTGAAAGACCACCCCCAGAACCAGCCGATTAGCCCCCGCGAAATGCTCTATCTGGGTTCCGTTTGGTACCTACCGGCCGAACACTATCGCAAAAATCAAGAATTGGAATTGGAACAAAACCAGCAGCAACAACAGCAACAGCAACTGGGTCGGGAAACGAACAAGAAAACCAACCAGTACAAACCACACAACAGAGTAAAACCGGTTCGATTGTCCCTGTCCAATGCTACCATGGTGCTACAGGGCGGCGATTACCTTCGAATCCACCACACCCCGAGGCGGTTTCACAGGGTGTACGAGGCCGACTGGTCCTTTCCATCTAGCAACAGCACCGCTCACCAGACGGACGACAGCCCTATCGAAAGCGACAAAAACGGATCTCTTCCGATGGTCATTCAGCAGCGAGGCCGCGGGTATTGCATCATCGACAAGCCGCCGCTCATACCCGTGCATTCCACAGTGGACAACAACGTTGAGACCGTTGCCAGCCAGCTTCTGCTCTCCCTGGAAGAAGAACAGCGACAACAACGGAACGCGAGCGACCACGATGCGGTGGATCCACCCTATTTGGTCCCGGTTCAGCGCATCGACGTCAATACCTCGGGTCTGCTGGTCTTGGCGACATCGCCCGAATTCGCAGCATACTTTTCGGAGCTTCTCCGACGCAAAACCGCAACGATCCTAGACCAGAGCGGGAACAGCACAGGCACGGGCAAAAGTGCCAGGCAAAAAACAAACAACACCACTGGTCGTAGCAACAAGGGCGATGGGGTACCCACTGTGGGCATTCAAAAAGGATACAAGTGCCTGGTCTGTATCCAGCCCGACAAAAGCAGCGGTGAATCCGTAGTGGAAGCATGGCGGCGTCTCTCGAATCTGCAGCGACCAAAAGACCAATCCCCGTCAAAAGACGACAACGGTGGCAGCGAGGCCGCCGTCAGAGGAAGCATAATTCGTCACTACCTCAAGGCCTCAGATCGGGCACCCAAGTTGTTTGTCGACACCTTGCCCGAGGAAGCGAACGGCGACGATGATTCCAAGTGGTACGAATGCCTCATGGAGATCACGGATGTCGGAGAACCCATCCCTCTCTTTTCCTCCGACTCAATCCAGAGGGGAGGACCGGCCGATGGCCTCTGGCCGAAAGCAGCGATCGACGGTGGGTTTCAAAGCCGAATCCCTCCCAATACCAAGGCGGTGGCCGAGGTCGAAGTCTCCCTCATCACCGGGAGGACCCACCAGATCCGGGGGCAGCTGAGCAAGCTCGGCTATCCGATCGTGGGAGACGAACAATACGGGGGAGCGCTGCAGCTGCCCGAGATATCGGGCATTTCACACGAAACAGGGAGCTTCGATGGCGGCCGAGTGGAATCGGAGGGACCACTCCCGCCGCAGCTCCTGGCCCTCCAGTGTTCCTACGTCGGGTTTCCGGAGGCCGAGTACGAGCTGACATGGCACAAGAAAAAACGGAGGGACGTCCTCAGGGGCCGCCCGAGCAAGAGCGGCCGAACGATCCAGCAAACGCTGGAACGCGCCTGGTGGACCCCTGTGCTGGAGCAACTCGGGGCTTCCGAAGAAACCGGCGAACCACGGTTCAGCGACATCGACTTCGAAGACGGGCCGCACGAAAGGACCGCTCCGATCGAATCCAGTGTGGAAGCGCAACGAGCGAGGGACGCCGAAACCACCTCCGAAGCGATGGTTCGCCCGGATCTGTTGCCCCCGGCGGTTCAGCTCTCCCCCGGCCGCAACAAATACATCGTTGCCAGGCTCCGCGACCCAATCACGGACCGGTTGCGGTGGTTTGTGAGGAGCGCCCCCCTTCCCTACCACGCCGACGTGGCCCTCGACCTGCTCGAGTGGATAGGCAGCGTTCCGGGGTATACGGAGACAAGGGTCGAGGTAACGGGGGGGGGTCGCATCGACTACGACGAGGCATTGTCGACGGTGAGCGTCTACGGCTTTTCCTACCGATACGGCAAGGGGGATCACGTCCGGGTGGCACAGCTGATCCAAGATTCCTCGTTCGGTGGCGACAACACGGTGTCTTACGACTTGTCCGACGCGCTGTATTGAGGGGAATGATATACACGACTGGGACGATTCGCTCAAATAAATAGAAACATCCATTGCAACGATGAAACGCCAAAATTCCCTCCTTTTGCGTAGTAAATAATGTACGCATGAATGAGCACCAAACCAGAGAGAAAAGATTCGTCTTTTGTTTGTAAAGTAGCAAAATAATCCGTGGCTGTGGTACGATGAATTCCTGGCAAGCGAAAATACTATCGGTTACATCAATACGAGTGACATACTTTATGGCTTTTATGGTACTAGTTGTTGAGAAGACCTCACCCAAAACTGGGCGCCGGAAAAGTCTGTGTCAACACTTTGATCTTCCGCGTGGTGCCGCTCCCTTGGTTGGTTCTGTGGGACGCGCAACCTGTATTCGGAGCGTCGGTTTCGAATGATCACCGACGGTGGAGCCTCAAATCGGATCGGATCCCGCCCATGGTATCTCTTGTCGCACCGGGCAGCAGAAAAAGTTGTGACTCGGGGCCGCGAGCTTGGAACATTGGTGCCACGTGCAACCGCGGCACTTTCTTGATCTCTCTTGCTTGGTTCACACGTGGCCGTCCATGCGAGACCGCGCAATCCGATCCGTTGCATTCGACTTGAATTTCAGTGTCTTACCGAAAGCCCGCATTCCAAAGTCCTTCCGTTCGCAGTGCTTCCTAGAGCCGACTCTCGGGCGGTGCGTCAAATTGCCCCGACGTGAGAGCTCGGTAGGCGTCCACGTACAGCTCGATCTTGATGCTCCGAAAGGTCCGGGGGTTGAAGTTGAGGAGCCCCAGGTTCTCGGGCAGGCCCGCTGCCGCCAGGCGTTCGCTGGTACGCCGCAGGTGTTCTAGTGAGCATTCCTCGTCGATCAATCCCGACGCCAGGGCCTCCTTGCTGCCGTAGCGCTTCGCCGTCAGGACCCCGTCCCGCAGGACCCGGGGACCGATCTTTGCCTTGGACAGCTCCGAGAACCCCTTGGCGAGGCGCATGCCGAGGTTCACCTCCGGCCAGCAGAGATATCCACGATCCGTTCTCATGACCCGGTAGTCGCAGGCAAGCGCCAGGAAGAGTCCCGCGCCAAACCCGTGCCCGTTGATCGAGGCAACGGTCCGGCAGTCCGCCACCATCAGGCGGGCGAGAAGCTCCCAGAACGACGTGATCAATGCCCCCTTCTGGGACTCGCTCGAGCGCTGTAGGTATTCCAGATCGAGGCCGTTCGAGAAGAATTTTCCGGTCCCCGTCACGACGAGCGCCTTGGGATGCGGGGCCTTTTCGATCTTGCCGATGGCCTTTCCGAGAAGATCGACGAACCGGGGGTTGACCACGTTCGGACCCCGGTCCATTCGCAGTGTGTAAACGCCGGTCGATTCGTCGGAGGTCAGGGAGATGCCATCTTCGTCCTGGAGTACCCCCATGCTGTTTGTTGCTACTGTGCTTGGCCGCGATCTACCGTACCCGTGCTGGAGTAGCCTGAACGTTGATCTCGCTCGAATTGTTTTCGTCGAGCCGTTGGTGTTGTTCGTGTTGTTCGTTGTTGTCATTTTGGGCTCTTGTTTCCGACAACAGGTACGTCTTCGTACATAACCTTACAAGCGTATTCGAGTAAGTCGATTATTTGGTTTGATTGACAGGCGAAGTACGAGTACGAGTACGAACCGTACGTTACCAGCACGTATTGGAGGAACTATTGCGTATTGTACGGCACGTACGCAGGGTACGTTACTGGGACCATGCTATGCTATGATTAGACCGTTATTTTCGTACTGTACAATGCACTGTACCGTACCTAGTGTACTGTACGGTACTCAACGTCTGAGAAAGGGCTCTTATTTTACCGGTACTACGACGGCGTAGCACGGTACTTGTACGTACGTACCGTACGAGATATGCCGAAAGTTGCTGAAGTGTGTTTCACGGTTCACACGGTTGACGTCCAGATGAATGAAACAACTCGTTCCGACTGCCAACACGTTGAAGCATACAGTAGTACGGTACGTATGTAGTGGTACGATTACTCGTACACGGGTTCCCGTACGTACTCGTACGAGGTACGTACCGTTATGGATTGCGGATTATGGATTGCGGACGATGAAAGAAGTGAGAGAACGAAAGCTTCAACAACCGTCTTGATTGTCGATGACAGGTTTTTCATTGTCATCACATCGCGAGTTTCATGATACAATTTTCCTGCGGTACGAGTACTCTATAAGATCGTCGTTGCTATTCGTCAAGTAACACAAGCAACGAATCATCCAACCCGAGACAAAACCCTGTCTCTCCCGGCTAAATCCTCAATCGAATCGGTTTCGACACCGCGGGTAAAACAGGGCGATCACCGATTGCGAAGCGCCGAAGAAGAAAGTCAGAAGAAAAAGTATTAGCATGAGAACGATGGCATCGACTGTTTGCATTCTTTTCGCGGTGGTGTTGCTGTCGCTGTCGCTTACGGCTGTCGACGCTTTTTCCAGCAGCAATCGGCTCGTACACAACAGTGTAAGGCAGTGCGATGGCCGTGCGTCGGTTTCGTCCGCCACAGGCACCCGTCGCCATCGCCTCGGCATGATTTCCTTCGGCGGAAGCGGCGACGAAAGCAAGGAGGAACTCCCGCGCGACGTCAAGGAGGCCGTCTCCAATTGCCGGCAGGCCACACAGACAGCCCTCCAGAAACGAATTTCGCGGATGGACATTGAGTTCCCGGTCGGAACGGATTTCGGTGTGGAAAAGAAAGCCAAGCCCAAGGGGGGAGGACGCCGGCGGAGGCAGGCGGGCGGGGACACCGATACCAGCGGAGGCCCCACCCAGTCGATGCTCGACCGGTCGAACCGAGAGCTTGCACGCCTCTTTGTGGAGATGTTTCAGCCGGTGGGAGGTGACAACATTGTGGTCTCGTTTGCCGACAGCGAACTCGCGGATTTGGCCAAGGCCAACTGGAAGAACGACGCGGGGGCCTCCTGCCGTGTCCTAGCCATGAACCGCAGCGGGGCCGCGAAAAAGAAGAAAAAGAAAAAGGGGAAGAAAGTATTGACGAGTGCCCGAGGATTTGCCGCAAAGATGGCCGCCGAGGTGGAAGACAACGACGAGGGCACAGGAGGCCAGGGCGGCGGAAGTGGCCCCTTCCAATTGCCCCCCAACACCGAGGTCGCCCTCTTTGTGGCCCCCGGACCGAAAGAACTGGTAGTCATCGACAAAATCTGCGAGACCGTGGGAATGGGGACCCTCGTGGTCTTGCTCAACGCCCGCCTTGACAAGGTCACTAATTTCGGGACCGAGGCGGCAGAAAAGCTCTTCACGGAAGACTTCGAATCCGTTTTTAGCCTGGCCGCGGCTCCTCAGCAGGAAGCTCCCGGTTGTCTTCTTTACAGAGCATTTCCCGGAGATTGGGTTTTGGCGCGAAAGCCAAGCGTTGGTCGACCGAAGACCATTTTGTCTCAACCGGAAAAGCCTACGAACGAAGAATGCCGGGAGACCTTTGACAACCTAGAGATTTCCGATCTTGAAAAGAACGTCGAAGGATTTGTTGACAACGTTGCGGGGTGGTTCCGTTGAGAAGTATGCGGCAAGAGCAAAAGCAATGCCATAAAGAAGTACGAGTACTCTGACTCCGGTCTCAGTCCAAATCTTTGTTACTTTTTGGAGTCACGGGAGAAGAAAATAATTTCTATTTTAGTTCCAGCCTTTCTTGTCAGCGATTGGTTGTTGAAGGGAGCGGGAGCTCATGTAGTATTGAATTTGTGAATCAGCCATCGATATCTAGTAGAGTGGAACTCATTTGAACTCCCTTGAATAGTAAGCCCAAATACTTCTACTTTTTTTATGCAAAGTATTGAGGTACATTCGCTCCCAAATTTGTCATATCAAAGCTTACTTGTTTTTGGGATGGCATTTTGTGTCTCGTCAATAATTAAACCACTTGCCAACTTGTGCCCCTTTTAAAAACTCACTTGCCAGCATCCCACAATAGTACCTTCTCATGGGAAAAGAATAAGAGACTTTGGTAATTTTGCGCGTGCCATTTTCAGGTGGCTCCATCTCAGCAAACAGTCATTGTCTGACTATGTTTGACATGTCTTATTATAAGGATTTGATACATATATGGGTGGATAGCGGCTGCACATGTCCCCAAGGAGTAGAAAATGCAGCTCCTTCATCTTGTCCTATGACGTGGTACCTAACAAGGTTGAAATCTTTGGTACTTTTATCCAGTCTTGCATACCTTTCAGTAATCAATACTACGGATATCGTAACAATTGATCACGCAACTAATCGTGCGCATGGGAACATTAATTTAACGTTCTGATTGTTAAGTTAAGAATGATGCCATCTCTAAATTAATGATGCCATTATTAGCTGCATAGGTGTACATAGGAAATGTACTAGCCCCGGTATTGGCACGCTGGCAGGCCCAGCAGATGCTGATCCAGCTGCTCAGCGAGGACCAGGATCAGTCAATTTGGATGGATCCTAGTACACAGCTGTACACAAATTGCTGTAGAAAATCTTGGATCAAGGGGGAACCCTGTCCATGTTGCTCAAAAATGAAAGGTTTTGATTCTGTGTTCAAAATTGTACTGTGTCCTACTGTCGTGGACCTAAAAATACCTCCAACATGCTAGAAATTCACGCTTTTTATGTTCTTTTCTTTTGTTCTTTCATTCAAAATACTTGGTTCAAGCAACCAACCATGGGAATCAGCTCTATTTGACACACTTGAACTCAACCTTTTCTAATGTAATTGGTACCAATCGATAGCTCTCTTCAATTGTCAATTTAAGAAGCCTTGAACTGTAGAAAAGGACCCAATAGAATTATTGTTTCAGTGTGTTATTGTAGCTTCTTTTTTTACAGCAACAGCTTCCAACGTTGGCAACAAACAGCAACATGAGCAGGGAGGATCCAGCTGATGAGGTTGCAAAGATTCGAGCAGACCATGACTTAACTAGACTAACACAACAAGAAAGAGCTGAGAGGCCTCATCCTAACAATGGGGGATCTGAAGGATATGGTGGGCATGTTAGACTACCAGAATTGGTAAGGAAGGAGGCTGGTCTTCCTCCTGCTTTTGGGACATTGAGGCCCATCCAGTTGCTGGTGTAGACACTGGTGCAGAGCAATACTTCCTCCAGGGCAATCTTGGCTCTCATCTAACCACTACAGTTGATCTGGTGGTTAGATACAGACCAGCGCCAAGGCCAACCCTCTTTCATGCTATACCCAGGCCTCCATACCAACCCAAGTGGGGATCCATTGAGTACAAGATCCTTGATGTGATCAGTGCTGTGTCTAAGAGCCCATTGAGCAAATGGAACTTAAATGATCTTGAGCAAGCTATCTATAGGGAAACTGGAAGATACATTACCTTTGCTCATTGTGGATATACTGTGGATGGTGTCTATCAGCCTGGAGATGGTGATTAAGCAGCAGCTGCTGCAACAACAGTACCTCGTTGGTCTTCAGCAAGCAAGCTGGATTTAGGGATTAGCTGTAATAGACTGGAGGAATTTCCTGGGGACTGACGTGCTGGCGTGGCGACTCATTCTGGGCCTATGGAAACTGAATCATGCTGGGCAAGCCTGGATTCCAGTCCCCTACTGGAACAGCTTGCCTTGCAGCTTCTTCCACGACACTCAATTGATTGCAAATTGACTAGATGGAGTGAATACAGTTACAGTTGGTTGAATCAATTGACCAGCATACTTAAGCTTAAGAGGGATGGATCCAACGCAAGATCCGTTCTTGTCTATCTATAGCAGTACTAGTATTTGTAAACACTTTATCTTTAGTAGGAATGATATCCACCAAAAGTAGATGCAATAGGCTTAGGCAATACCCCAAGGACCAGCTTGCTGACCACACAACTTGTCCTGGGCCTACAGTTTAGCTAGTCTGGAATCTAATCACTACTGGAATTGTGACTCAAGATCAGCAACTCATCCACAGAAAGCTTCCTGGATCTCTTCTTTGGTCTAGCTACTGGAAGCTTTACTACCCATCTTGCTACGTGTGTTGGTGGGGGGGGCTTCCGCTGCTGCTGCTGCTGCTGCTGCTGCTGCTGCTGCTGCTGCTGCTGCTGCTACTGATGCTACTGATGCTACTGATGCTACTGATGCTACTGCTGCTACTGCTGCTACTGCTGCTACTGCTGCTACTGCTGCTACTGCTGCTACTGCTGCTACTGCTTCTACTGCTTCTACTGCTACTGCTTCTACTGCTACTGCTACTGCTACTGCTACTGCTACTGCTNCTGCTGCTACTGCTGCTACTGCTGCTACTGCTTCTACTGCTTCTACTGCTACTGCTTCTACTGCTACTGCTACTGCTACTGCTACTGCTACTGCTACTGCTACTGCTACTGCTACTGCTACTGCTACTGCTACTGCTACTGCTACTATTGCTACAGGGGGAGGCTTTTTAGCTGGCTTCAATCCAAGCTCTTTCTTTTTGATCCACACCATGTTATCCACAACCACTTCAGCATCTCCATGATAGATTTCCCTCAAATCTTCAACAGTATTCCTTGTCCCACAAGCTGGTGGTGTACCAGTGGAAGCTGGATTCAACTGTTTCACAATCATATCAAGGGCATCTTCAGTATCAGGACTGCTTTCATTAGAATAGTATAAACTGGTAGATACTTGCTGGACCTTGGTAACAAAGGAAGACAAGGAACCAGCAGCTGAGGCAGCAGGTTGAGCAGGGAGCTTGAGATCACTGAAAGGCTTGCAGTAAGGGACATTAGTAGCGCTTACAGCAGCATCAGGTGCCATTTTTTCTTCTTCCTCTTCATCGGCGCTACTCAAATCACCAAGGTCAATAGGACAAGCGCTTGAGCCCTCTTCAGCTGGTTTATAAGTAGCAAGCCTCTGAGCAAGACTAGATCCATGCTTCCCCAGCAATCTAGAAGAAGACTTGGCTCCATGGAGGTTATTCCTATACTGGCAATGGCTCCTATCAGCAGCACTGCTTGTATGAGGCTCATACTGCTGGCGCAGCAAAGACTGTTGCATTAGCTGCTGAGACAAAGGCCTACTATGCGGCTGGCAAGGCAAAGGCTTCCTCTGCTGGGCCTTTAAGTGAGCTGCAAGTCTAGGAGGACAGATACTGTTCCTAACCTGATCAATACTCAGCCCATGCTTTGTCCTATCAGTCTTGTTCCTGAAAGCTTTCTGAATGGCATTCCTAAAGGCAACATTAGACTGAAGATGAATATCATGGGCAAAGCTGTTTGCTGCATGAGCCCCAGCGTTTTGCCTGGCCTCAGCAAAGGACTGACACCCCTCCATTGCTTCTTAAAAGGTGCCCTCCAACACGTGATGAGTACCAATATCATTGATAGCCCCTATTGGATCCTTCTCCCAGCTCTTTTCTTTGTAAGGATCAAGAATAATCCCCCTCAAGATATCAGTCGTAATCTTGTACCTCTTTGAAGATGCAAACCTCACCTTACAACCACTGCAGGCAGTCTATTGTAATTCCCCTTTCATCATACTCTAGATGATCAGTACTGGGCTTCCTACACTCAGGACAGTTCCCTCCATTTGGATCCAAGTTACAAGTGATCTTGCAGCAGTAGCATGCACACCATACATCATCATCATGGGCATGCCTGGGGTTTACTATGTGAGTCTTCCCCCTTTCATAGTCCTTCTTTGCTGCCAGATACTCCTTGTGCCTTGCCTTGTTCACTGCCTTGACATCTTTCAGCTTGTCAGTATCCATGCGTCACTGTACTAGATATGTTGTTGCATACAGGACAAGGCAAAGGATAAGCTTCTTGATATCAAACTTGATCCTGTCCTGGATCTTCTAGCCATTTGTCTGCCAATCAATGTACCCCTTCCTGTTCCCCTTGCTGACAGCTGCCTCATCATCCATATCCTTCTTCTTCATATGGTGGAGGACCAGCAGCTTGAATTGGAAACTTGACCTATTTATTGTTCCCCTCTGAATCAAAGAGGAATCCAACAGCTCATCCTTGCTTGAAGGGTCTTTTGCCAGTTCATGAAGCTTCATGAGACCATCTCAGGCTTCTCTCTCCTGTGTATTGTAGCCAACGACAATTAAAAAAAGAAGCAGTTGTCATAAAAAAAGAAGCTACACTGTAACACACTAAAACAATACTTCTACTGGGTCCTTTGCTACAGTTCAAGGCGTTTTAAGTCGACAATTGAAGAGAGCTATCAATTGATACCACTTACATTAGAAAAGCTTGAGTGGAAGTGCTTCAAATAGCTATTCCCTTGGTCAGTTGCTTCCAACCGTGTTTTTAATAGAATGAAAAGAACAGTTTAGCAGTAAATCAGCATGCTTAATCAGCACACTGGAGGTAGGTAAAGGTAAGGAAACTATGACACAGTACTAGGATTTTGAACACGGAATCAAAACCCTTCTATTTTGAGCAAAACTACCTTGATCCACGATGTTCTGCAGCAGTTTGTGTACAGCTTTGTACCAGGATCTATCCAAAAGACCAATCTCAAGCAAGATGCTGAACAGCTGCTGGGCCTGCTGGTAGGCGTGCAACTAGTGGGGCTAGTACAAAACCTACTTAGGACTATGTAGCTAATGATGGCATCATTAATTTAGAGATAGCATCATTCTTAACTTAACAATTAGAACGTTAAATTAACATTCCCATGTGCATGATTAGTTGCGCAATCAATTGTTGTGATATCTGTAGTAATGTATTTCAAAGAACATGCCCCTTTATGACTAAAATTCTTGTTTTTGGAAGCAAATGGTGGGGATTTGCCAAGATGTTACCTTCAATTCTGGTCTCTCTTTTTACCCTGTATGACTGCTTTGACTCAAAAATTCCAGTCCGACAAAACTATCTGCTCACCAAATTAGGTGACTCTTCTTCCTTCAACTGAAACTTTGGCAAGACTTCCCCTGATATTTTTGTTTCCATCTCCAGTTGATCAGAAGGAAGAGTGATGGATTCATTGACATGTTCTTTTAACATGAGTTATCACAGTGTGTTGATCACCTTTCCTTCTTGTCAAATTGACATAATTCCTCCTGTGAGGCAAACTACCCCAACTACTAAACATGGAGGATACTACAAAGAAAGAAGTAGCAAAAGCAGTAAGAGACCACTGAAAAAGAGAAGCACCATTAGCAGCAAAATATAACCGACACACAAGAGTTTTGAAGAACTCTACAATGGAGTACGTACAATATGATAGGAAGTTGCAGAAGTATATGTATGTACTGTATTGGAAGCATAAGTACGATACAGGATTAAGGATACGTATGATACGAGATTAAGGATATGCAATCTGTATAGTTGAACATACCATTCCTACCTACGTATGGTAACGTACTGTTTAATATATATACATCATACGTCATCATAAGAATACAGTGACGATTGCAAGGATGCAAACTCCAAAATGATATGTAGTAGGAATATGCCAATAGCCCCCCCCCCCCCCAAGTCAGTAAATCACAGCCCCAGGGGGCTGTTTGTTTATCACTAGCAGTAGAGAAGGCAATGCATAAGTATCAACAGGAAGAATGCAAAGATGAAGAAGGAAACAAGTCATCAGGCAAGAAGGGTCCTTGTTCAGAGAGGACTCAAGAACTCTGCTCACAAGCACTGGCTCCCAAAGTGCAAGCTTGCAACAATGAAGGACAACCTCAAAATGAAGTGGCACTCCACTGTACAGGCCTGGAAAGTTCTGGGGTTCAAGAAGGAAAATACTTGAGTTGGATGGCAAATACTAGTAATGGATACAGTAACTCCCCCTCCAGAAGCACCAGTTCTCCCTCCTCCAAAGATACTCAACAATCCTTTGCCTCAGTTAGTACAGTTTGTACTCTCTCAAGATTGGAAATGGATCAAAGACTCATACCACAAAAAAAACTAAATGAGACATCATCCTTTGTCGGGTGTGAAAGGAACACCTACTTGAAGAAGAAGGATCTTACAAAAGCAATTGAGCTCAAAAGGTTTGCAAAGCCTCTGTTGCCTCTAAGGATGAAAGTTGTCAACAAAAACACCAAGTTGTTCCTTGAGATCCAAATGGCTGGTGTGATGATGAGGGAAAACAAGAACTAGTCCCTTGTTCTCAGTGTGCAAAAGAATTTTGTACAATGAGTGAGGGAACCCCCTTGCTGCTACTATGAATCACAGCCTCTTGTGGGATTCCAATAATTACAGTGGAGATAAAAAGGAGGAGGGGTTCTGTAGATGTACTAGTAAATCTGATGATAAGTTACCACAGACTGTACTAATTGCTGAGCATGTCCCTTTCTTTTTACAAGAAGAGGTATTTGATTGAGAAACCACATCCAAATGTTGTAGCAAAGGAGAACATGCTGTAACTAAATCCTTGATAGCAACCAAAAATAAATTGGCAACCAACTAAGGAGCTCTACAAGTCAAAAGCTATGACATCCCTTCATCTTCCAATACATCATTATATGGCTGCAATAAATGCATTAATTTGTGCTTGAGTTAGCTGCCGTACTAACAAGTGTTAAATCAGTAGTAGTAAGAAGTCCACTGCAACAATAGATTGCTGTTGTTGCTACTAGCACTTGGGGATTCAAAAGTCTCTCCTCCCTGCTACTGATTATCATCCTCCCCTTTGTTGTCTCCACCATCCTCTAGTATGTCAAGCAAACTCCAAATTGTCACATAACTGGTGTTCTTTTTTGGGATTCTTCCAGTACTTCTTACTCTGTTCTTGCCCTCTCTTATCATGCCTAATTCTTGAGCAGAAGTCATCTCTGCCAAGACCAAACCATTCAAAGCCATGGTAGTTACTGTGATGTTCCTCTAATTCTATCAATATCAGACATCACACCATTAGGCACACCCTCCACTTGTATTCAGGCACACCCTCCACTTGTATTCATCATATTCCATTGAAGATATACAACTAAGGGCCCCATTACTACTATGCTTGATAAGGCTGGCTTGATCCATCCATGTACAGATCCAATCTACCACCACCAACTTTCAATAAGAAAGAATTAGTGTTGTGAACAATGTCCTTGTGAGTACTTAGTATGTAATCAAATTTTTATCATGCATCATTAGTACTAGTACCTTTATTGGATTTTCCAGGAATGGGGAGTTTTTCCAAATCATTCTTACAGGAATTTTGTTTCCAACATTCTCATTGAATGAAAAGCCCTGAAGATCCCATTTATACTTGCTAGCATTCTCCTGAGCTCCTTCACAGGCACCATGCATAAGCAAAATGCCATCAAAGAAGTGAACATCCTCAGACAGTGTCATGGGGAAAGCTGGTGTGGTCCCTCCTCTCTCTCATTGGCATTAAATACATGGACTTTTGCACCTTTTATCATTGTGTTGTACAAAAATGTACACAATTGAGATGGGTTGAGAAACCGTTAATGGTGCTTCTTCCCTGGTGGTTCAATCTGATACTGCTGGGCCTCTGTCAAAGCAGGAACAAGGGGAAGAATCAACTGATAGAAGAAGAATGTATCTCCTCCATTTTCAATCCTCTCTTTTGTGAGTCCATGTTGCTGAAACTTGAAGATATTTGACATCCCCCTTGTTGTCTGGATCATAAACTCAACTATCCCAACCTCAAGTACTATTAGTGAAAGTGATGTTTATTACATTTTCTAACACCTTCACTCCTCTCACCCTTGTTGTCCACATCATCAATGTTGTTTTTTCTTCCTTCTCCACACCAGAATTGTTGACATACTGTTATTCAGATTGAAGATAATGTCCTTTGAAACTAGTAGTATCTGCCAGTTCCTCTCTCAAACTTTTGACTGTAGTACTAATCAGGATGTAATCCATCAGAATTGTCCACATCTCTCCACTTTTCTTGTGCCTCCCCTTTGCTAACCTTTCATTTCTTCCTCTTGCATCCAAGTGGGGGCTTTGGATAATCAATACAGGAATCAATGATGGTTCCATCCTTGTAGTAATAGAAGAACTATTATGTATCATGAGGTGCTACAGTATCCTCCAAGTCAAAAGCCTATTTCCTTTCCTCCATAATCACATCAAACATATCAGCTTGTGTCTTCTCCTCATTACTCATCCGTGAGCAGTCTGATTCATAGCTTAGTACTACTAGTCCGTAAGTATCTTCCACCAATGCCTCCTCATCACTTGAACTAGTACTATCATCCACAAACATAGTTTCCAAGTCTGATTCTAATTCAAATGCTGCTTATTTGATATTCCACAATGTTGGCGCAGTTAGTATTTTGGCCACTTCAATGTAAAGAAGGGACCAAAACACAATGTACGACTGGTTTGTACATTGGTCTGCCAACTCTATACAATAGCACTCCATTTTATCCTTTGTGTTGTTTTCATTCATTTCTTAGTGTACTAGTGGTGTGGTATTTGAAAAATGTCACTATGGTCTGTTCTTGTTTTTGGTACTACTACTACAGCTACTGTTTACTATCATTGTTCACCAACAAATTTTAATTACTAGTATGCAGTACTCCTATGTGATGTAGTAGGGAATGCCAGCAAGTAAGTGAACAAAACTGTCACAAGCAAATTGATTAGCTAATGCTTTAAGAACAAATAAGCAATAAATTATTGGTAATCATGTCATACAATTGTATTGACTTCTTGTGTTACAATACTAGTGTGTTAAAAGATCTCAACAAGGCTCAATACAGATGAGTAAAAATATTTGAATAATCTTGTTATTTGCTTTTAAAAATGATATATTTCTCTTTGAACTATTTTTTGTACTGGAACAAACATTTTTCTGGACTAAATCTTTTCTTCTATCAAGTGGTTGTTTCTTGTTCTGAGATATTTCTCCATCAAACTTTGTTTCCTTTTGTCTTGATTCATCCATTATCTCGTAGTTGTGGTATTCAAACACACTCCAATGTAGTGCATGTAAATGGTTTGCGACGCTCCGACTTTCTTGCCTTTCAACAATGATTTCAATTTAGTTGCAATAGAACAACCAAGAACAAGATCCACTGATACAGTCACTATTCTCATTACAAATCTATTTCGAAAGAGTGGCAGTGCAACAGGAATAAGTCAGACGTTTCGATTTTTCAGAGAGAAATACATATCAGTCAAACTTACACTTCCATCGGGGAGCTTATCGTAGCACCTGGTTGATAATGGTGACAAACTGAATTCTACATGAACTTCACATCTCCCAGATTGGCAATCCCTTCCGGATTCGCACATTCCGCGTTCTCCACTCTGGCTACTCTCATCGGGGCACAAAGTGGGCATTTTTCCATCGGCGGCATTACATTGGCCACCGGTAGAAAGAAGTCCTGGTACCTCGAAACAAGAATCGCTTTCACAATACTCATCACGGTTGCAAAAGTCGCATGCAATATTCTTCTGAACATTAGGGAGGAAGATTTTGTTGTAATCGATTCGGGCGTTTAAAATCCAATTCTCCCAACCGATGGTATAGTAAGAATTCACATTGTATGTATAATGTGCACTTGAATGACCGAACGTGTACTGGACACCAAAATACGTCCAGCGCACATCACAGCTTTTTGCAATGTGAGAACAAGCCGATCCATCAATACTACCGATCGGTCGAGCAGCCAAATCATAAGTATTTATCACGACATCAAACTTGATACCATTATGTAAAGTGTTCTCAATCAGTCCATTATATTCAGTTCGGATAAGCAGTTGCCTTATATCTTCTTCGTCCCAGTTTGCGATCATCTCCTCGATCTCAGTATTGTCGAATCCAAAGGATTCCAAAGTAGTACTGTACTGTGACAAAGCTGTATCTACTACATTCGATGCGACATTAATACCGAGTGCGTCCAATCTGGTAAAGGGATCGTATGCACCGAGAGCAGCGAATGATGCACCTTCAATGCCAGTTTCAGAGCAAACCATTTCCGTTAGGATCCCTCCTAAACTATGTCCGGTGATAAAGTCTGCCTCCTGTTCAAGTGCCACTTGTACAGCTTCTTCTGCCATATTTCTTATAAGATAATTGGCCGTTGGCGTCGACCAAATATCGGCAAGGAGCTGCTCGGCGTTGGAGAAATCTGTGCCCATGAATGCGAGAATTTTTTTTCCCTCATGTGGACCCTGTTGGATTATGTAAGTCGCCCACTGTAGAGCATCTCTTCCATCTGATGCTTCCGCCAGAACATCCTCGCAGGATTGAACAACATCCAAAGGATTGAAACTACCAAGAATGTTCTCAAGCACACCTCCTACCATGGTAACTACTGCAGACGTAAGTGAATTTGAAGCAATCGCTGCACATAAAACAACTAGAAATGCATTATCTCTCTCTGGATACTGGGCACCATGTTACAAATGTAGGAAGAAAGTACGTAAGCTCAACATGCTTACCGGGAATTGTTGATGTGATACAATAATTCTGGGATTTAACTTACCACCTCAAGATGATCACGGACAATCCATTCGTCCATGCCCTCTCTTTCCGTAGGACAACCCTCGTATGTCCAGGGATTGCGTTGAGTTAAACGTTCTGGATTACAATAGACATCTTGCATTGCAAAACCAAGCATATGCAAGAGCTCATCATCTCCAAGTGGTTCGGTCTTGATGGCGTTGCGACATTCGCCATCAATAGCACTGATGACAACATTACTGCAGTCTTCGGAAACAGTACAATCATTACAATTATATTCAGTTAGTTGGAGTCGCCTTCTTCTCGCATTTGCGAGAGCCTCATCAAATGAGAGTCTCCCATCCTCATCTGTATCAAGGCGCTGGAGAGCATCCTCCCATGCAAGAATATTTGAAGATAGGTCACAATATTTAAAGAAACCTTTAGCGTGAACTCCATTTTGAAGAGTCCTGATGGAACACCATTCAAGTCCAAAGGTATCGTCATCAGAAGTGCAGCTATTATAGGTATTCATCACACCATCTGTCTCGTATTTGAAAGGGAAAACACATTCTTTGGCATCGAAGTAAGCCAAAATTTCTTCCAAGGTGATGTAGTCATCGTTGTTATAATCAACTGCTTGGAAGACCTGAGCCCCCGAAGTAGGCCTACATTCGCACATGAATGTGTCGCCTGCTTTGAATGCATCGTAAACACAATGTTGGTGGTCATCCGTCTGGGCAATACACTGTTCTTTGGCATCGGTATCAAAGTTGAACTTCTTGTGCAGTTCACCCTTAATTATGATAGCATCGTCTATCGTTTTTTTGAGTTTTCCTTCATTGTGGTTTCCTTTCGGCGACTTGGAACTCTTTGGTGTCTTGGAGGGACTTGAGGCCTTCGGTTTCTTTTTCTTGGAGGTCTTTTTATCAGGCCTCTTTGGATCATGTTTCGACGATTTAGGTGCGGATTCCTGCTTCGGCGATTTAGGTGCGAGATCCTGTTTCGACGATTTAGGTGCTTTGAACGATTTGGGTGCTTTGGACGATTTAGGTGCTTTGAACGATTTAGGTGCGAGTTCTCTATCAAGACTAGGATCGAGAGCAACCCTCTCGTTCTCGTTCCCTTCCACGAAGAAAGTAAGAATAGAAAGTGTCAAAAGGGTGACAAGTGCAAGCACTCGGTTAAGAAACATGTTCGCAGAAAGTCTGTCAAGTCACGAAAAACGAGATCCTCTACTTATTTGTAAGGTGGTGGTGTTTCCACGCTTTTCAATTTTATGACACCACTAGGGAGAAAAATGAAACTGGACGAACTTGCAACTTTTCTACCAAAAACTGCGTAATCTGATGTCAAGTTGCTAGTACAGTAGTATTCTTACAATAAATTTGGACCGACTGTACCGTAGATTGGGCAGTTTATTGCATTCATTTACAGGTGAAGTCATTATTTGCGATATTTATAGCCTTCGCCTTCCAGAAGTATACGTAATATTGCACGGAATTGAGCAACTCGAGAGAACAAAGAATTGGCATAATAATAATTCGAGATAATGACCAAGTAGAAACGAAGTAGGGAATGACCGAGGTGGTGTACTTCGTTCTCGTACTACCAGCCCCAACCCCAACGCCAATACAGTGCATACCGCCAGCACGTAATGTACTCGTACTCTCACGAAAGATTTCAGATCGGATCAATAAGTCATAGAGGTCATACGGTATAAACTGGCAACCATTATAATGACTCGAGAAAATGAAGTTTTCATGCGAGAATTAGGTAACCTATGTAGATCGTGGTACTGATTCTAGATGGGGTCCTTCTATTCCTCACTCGTGACATCATTGTTCTTTTACGACGCCACCGTACCTCGTATTTAAAAACAAATCTTAATATTATATTTTCGTGAGCTACGGTAGAAGAGGCACTATGGGAAAGAATGCTTCTAGCTGCTCCGAGGGGTGGCACTTCCCTCCAAGGAGTTTTAGTGGACGTGCGACAAGAACCTTACCTCCTCGTATTTCAGACCTCTTAGATTCCTCGGTATGATGGATCGTATGATGCATAACTCGTGACATCTTTGTTCTTTATGACGTCACTGTACCTCATATCTTAGACCTCGTCTTATCTTAGATTCCCCGGTATGATGGATCATATGGTATGTAGATAGGAATAGTATTATATGATACGTAGATAGGAAGGGTATGTTGGATTGTATCCTTGATTCTGTATTATTGTACTGTACGTATCCTCAATTCTGTATCGTACGAATCCGTACTTCCACATCATACATACGACGTATTGGGTTTCCATACCATACGTACATACTTGATTCCATTGCACCGGGACTAGTAGACCAATGCCAGGTATATTTACTTTAAAGCATTCTTGTAGTATACCTGTGCAGGAATAGTTTCCTGGCACAAATCTTCTGTTGCTGCTTGCATTAGTAGAATTTCCTTGAGTCCTCTGATTTCCTCTGTAATTGTTATTATTATTGCTCTGGTTATTACCTTGGTAATTGTTTCCTCGTGGATTGGAAGGACAGTCCCCCCAAAGATGTTCTCCATTGTGTTTCCTGCAGGGCGTTGCATTGACCCTATTCCGTCTTTCTTCTGGGGTCTCATTCTGTCGGTTGTTTCTATTATTGTTATTGTTGTTTTTGTTGTTGTTGTTGTTGTTGTTGTTGTTGTTGTTGTTGCGTCTCCTTTGCTTCCCATTCCTTCCTTGTGCACTGTTGGTGTCCTCCGGTGGTCTCTTCCTAAACTGCTTTCTTTCACTCTTGTCGGCGAGTCCTTTCTGGTCTGTCATGAATTTGATTATTTCTTGTTGTGAATCTTCGAGGATATCCTTCCCATAACTGATGTATTTATCTTGCCAAGCATTAGGGAAAGAGTGGAAAAGAATCTCCTTGATCTCTCTTTCAGATAAGGGACTTTTAATACCATGAAGGATGTTGGCTCTGTTGCAGCAAATGAGAACTTTCTCCGCGTGTTCCTGACAAGTGATATCGTGGGGCTTTTTTATGGCATCTGATTCCAAGTATTCAATCACCTCATCTCTTGCTCTCCTCAATGGTGCATACTAAAATTCTCTAAAGGAGACAAGGGCTTGTTTCCACTGTTCTTTGGTGCTCCTCCCAACTCTCAATCTGTAAGGACCTTTCCACATGTTGTTCCAATTCTGTCTTGGTCGATGGGCCAATACCATTACCCACTTCTTGTCTATCTGCCCATCCGCTATTTCCAAATCATCTATTGCATCCTCGAATCCTTCTTGTACATAGAATAGTTCCTGTACTCCATATTTTCCGGAGAAGACTGGACAGGTTCTTTTCAGCCTCATAGCAGGAATTTGGGTTGTCCTTAGGTTGGATCCTCTTCTGGAGGTCTCTGTCCTTGTCGGGTGATCCACAAAAAGGCTGATCTCCTTGATGTCACTCTCTTTGAACTTATCATCAAGGGTAAGGCATGATTGATATGAGTTTCGACTTCGAGAGGAATTGGTTGACTTCACCATGGTCGATGTATTATTTTGGTTGATTTTCTTATGGGATGATTAATTTTGATACACAAAAATCAAGTACTAGTAATTACTGTGCACGAAATACGTGTACTCTAAGTATGTTTAAGTGTGTATGAAAATTGAATTATAAGATTAAGATTATCTCATTCCGACGTGAGCTTTCAGTAGCTGTGATTAGATCCTGTGTAGCTCTCGGTACTGAATCTACACAGGATTCTTATTATTCTGATCTACTGACATCTTTGTTCTTTGCGAGGTAATCTATTTCTGATATCTCGGACCTCTTACGATCCTCGGACCTCTTATGATGGATCCTGTGATACATATATAAGAACAGTACCCTATGATAGGTATGTAGGAATGGTATGTTCTTTCATTCCTTTCTACGAAGCTTTGTATCATACGTATACTTCAGATATAGTATCGTACGTATACTTCAGATACTGTACGTACGTATCTGTTGCAACCTGCAATATCTATTTATACAATGCAACCAGCTCTGACCATTGAGTTTAATTCCAACCAAATTTTTCTAGACCTCGTAAATACCTAGTAGTACTACTAGTAGAGAATCCTTACAGAAATTTCTGGTAGCTTTCTGGTAGTAGTACTAGTAGCTCTTGTTGTTTTACTTTCTGGTAAGTTTCTGGTAGCAGGATTCTGGTAGCTTTATGGTAGCTGCGCATGAACTCCTGGAAGATTACCATTCTTGCTGTGCGCCTGCAATCAATGATTAAAAATTTCATCTTCACTCTTAAAAGCTGATCTGATCTCCTATTTTGCATTGTTAGTAATCTTTGATACCAAGCAGCAGCAGCAATCACAATGGCAAGGAATGCAACAAAGAAGGGACCAAAGCAGCTAGACCAGGAGAAGCATCCCATGCAAGTTTAAGAGAGATTAGAGCTGTCAAAGCGCATTGCCTCTTATAACTTTTGTCTCTTTCTGTACACTGAAGGAGAAGAAGGCTGGTCTCTGACAGACAAGCCAGGATCTATTTGGAAGTATCAAAGCTCAAACTACATTAGGCAAAGCATCAGCAGGGAATCTAGATGGGCAAGATTGGAAAGGTAGGCTGTTGCTGTTGCTGTCACTGTTGCAACTGTGCTGTTGTTCCTCCTCCTCCTCTCACCAGGCGTCTTGTTACTAGGCTATGGCCACACTTGTACAAGATCTACTAGAGAAAAGAGGAATCAAGCTTGTAGATCCTTTAAGAGAACACAGACAGCTTTGACAACAGCTTGTCAACAAATCATCAGAAGCAGAGTTGATTGCATCCTCTCACAAAGAAGACAACAATTCCATAGCAGCAGCATCCATAGTAGCATCCAAAGAAACAACGAGAATGCCCAAAAAGGCTGTAAGAATGGCAAGCCCTGCTGGTGGTGATGAAGAAATACTTTCT